AAAAAAAAAAAACAAAAAAAAAAAAAAACGCTTTTTGCCAGGGATCTTTTACAAACGTAGTTTTCGTACACAAAACGACATTACTGTGAATAACAATATTAATAAAACAATGAAATTAAGTTAATATGGATCTTTTTATTTCTTGTTATGTCGTTGGACAGCTTTGATTACAGTGGTGTTTAGGCAGCTACAATACTGGTATGGCCGCCGATGGTTGCAAAAAGGTACTGGTACTGGAAAACCTTCGGCAATTTCAGTTCTCCAATCTATAGCAAGATACCGAACCTGCCTTGGGTTGGACGAAAGGTGGAGTCAGTCTATTGGTTACAATCTAGAAGACAACTTATAAACTACAATTTCACCTCCTTTGACAGTTCTGGTCTGAGCCAAGAAAGCCCAGTTTCTAGTGTCATCGCATTATAAGAAGCACTCTATATGAGCTGCATTTGTTGCAAGAACCGCCAAATCTTACAAGATCTAATGTGGGATACGTTAGTTTCAATCTACCGACTCTCCTTGGTGTGTAATGGCTTAGTCGAGTACTTCTGTACAAATAGCAGTTTTATCAATATTTACATTTGCAATTTCAACTGTCCATCTCTTTGATTCTAGAGTATGATCAAAGAAATCCATTAGGACCTTTGGTTCCTAGGGCTGCAACCGGTACACTCAGTAGGCCGTAGCGTCTGAAGGCGTGTTTCCATACAAGTCAGACTGGTCCTTCTATAAGCTTGACGCAGGAAATTAAAGCCAAGCGTCAACTATCTGATGTCGCAAGTAACACTCGGCGTCCAGTTAGCAAGGGGCGAGGTGTGTCGTCTGTATGGCGAGATAAGCTCCATCGTGCAGTGTGCAGACGGGACGTAACAAGAGCCAACCCAAGATATATGTAAATGCACCTTAATTTCAAACGTTACTAGTAAAATGACGACATAAACCTTTCCACCCACACAGATATAACTACAAGACAACCGTTGCAGATGTTTGGGAACGTTAACACTGGTTTCTAGGAGGGTTCAAGATATCCGTGTGGAATAAAGGGCACATACTGCATCATCAACGACTGAGTTATCGTAGAAGTCCCTACATGTTTTGACAAATGAAAACTGAACAAGGGAAGCAGCTACGTTAGCCAATTCAATTGAGCGCTATTGTAGATCTAGGGAGTGTATTGCCACCAGTGTTATAAAATTCTGCTTCAAAATGTGTATGCTAGTCTCATCCAGTGTCATGGAATCTTGGAGTACAAAAGCTATCATCAAATATATGTTGTTTTAAAATTAAATCTAGCAAAACTTGTGCTGAATGAAGAGATAGAAGAATCTACAAAAGGAATGAGATTTCTCAAACAGAGATCAGTCTTTCATTTGATGGATGTGGAGATTGTGACAAAACTATTTAAAACAAAATGTTTACAAATGTTTGGAAAAATGTTTACAAATAATCAGAAAAAATATGGCAAAGCAGATCATTTGAATGAAAAGGAGTTTGTTCAAATTGCCACAATACCATTCATTGTTACAGCGCTCTTCATATTTTAGTGAAAAATGATATTATATGGAAATGTCTGCCCTTAACAAGAGGGTTAACTTAAACCTTAAAAAAAAGTGAGTTAATAAAAATTTAGACTAAGAATAATTGTACATTTTCTAAAAAAAGCTTGATGTGATTTTGACTAAAAGTGTCAATGTCAACATTCAAAATAAATGTCTCCATATTCAAAGACAAGATAGTAATCATCACTTTAAATTACACATATATGCTACAATTCATATGGAATGACTCAATATAATTAGTCAGGCTCTGAAATACATATTACATACATATCCACATAAATATACCTTGTCCAGTTGTGCTGTTACAGGTAGAATAAAACATCAATGAAGTTTCTAGTCACTCTTCAGTAAAAACTGTACAATACCAGGTTATATATAGTTTGTATATAATTCCTTGCTTTACAAATTGCCCAATTATATGCATATATTCTATGTATACACACTGGGAACTTTTTAAGTTACAATTGTTTGTGGTGACCACTTTTTACTGCAAGTAAATGTTTACAATATTAATTACAAACTATAGTGTTCTATTCAAAGTTTTATATACATAGAGAATATCACCATATTTATATATATGTATATATTCTGTGGCAGGTAAACTACTGGCAATCTTGCATTATTTGTCTGAGAACTCTCACATGCTTCTGAAGCCAGACAGTTGACATCTCTTTTATTAACCCCCCAGCACATTACTTCTTTTTTGTACATTCACACAGATATACTTTTAATGTAGGAACTTACAGCTCCTGCAAGCCTGCTGTCTCTCCTCAATTTAACTGTATATTTCAAAAATCCCTAAAAGCACATTCCTATACCTATTATAACTTTTTGAATACTCTCTATCTGAAATTATCCATATTAAATGCAACCCTGGTTTTATTTTTTATTCTGATATGCTGATATATCATGTCTCAACATCAACATTATTATTTATCTCCTTTTCATAAAAATTTCACACTCTCTTTCTCATGATCTGTACCTCCACTCCTAAGGAGCTCACTATCTGTTCTTTAAGTTCACAAGATTTCTTCCAAAATCTCATTATTTGTGCCTCCACTTCACAAGAGTTCACTCTCAATCTCCTCCCACTGTTCTCCTCCTGGACTCTCAGGCTGCTGCAACTGTTGCTTCCTGCGATACTGCTTATACTCTTCTCTCAGCTTTGAAAACCTGTCCCCTCTCCCGGTGCGCTCGTGTCGCGAGATATCTGGATCACTGGAGTTAAAGTCACGTGAGCTATTACGGGAAGTTTTGGAGACATTCCTTAAAGCGTCTAAGAGTTCAGACTCAGTTGGGTTATCAAATTCATAGTTTTCATCCACTGAGGCGTCTCTCTTGTGCTGTGTGTCTCCTATGGAGTACGGGGAACTCTCAGTGCTAATATCATGCTCTTGAGGAGTGTTTGTAGAACTGAGAGAAGAATTCATGCGACCACGTGCTGACTGTGATGAGGACGACATCGTCTGTGAGGTGTTTCTACTGCCCTGGCCACTGCTGGAGCTTGGCATGTCTCCTGATTGGTCCATCTGGGAGATATTGGGCTGTGAATGTGACAGAGAAGCTGATTTGCTGACTGCTCCACCACTGCTGCCACGGCCTGAGCTCCCACTCAGACCTGAGGTCACGCTGGTACGATTGGCTGGAATGTCTTTATAGGGGGCGACACTGTCTGCAAATGTCTGAGGAATGACAGTTGTTTCCCCATCTCTGCCTGAGTCGTCTCTAGTCTTTTCTCCAGTAGATGGCGTTAGTGCATTCCAGGAATGGCGCGGTGTCTCAGATGGCTGATCTACATCAGGTGCACTGCCTCGTGAGGAGCCCTGAAGACGTCTTGCTATAGGTCCACGTCGTGCCCTCTCAATAGCTCCCTGTAACCGGTCTCTTGTGTAATGAAATGGCCGCTCCTCACTTCCCTCTCCTCTAGGATATGATGGAGTTTCTTCACGTTTTGGAGAAGGTGACACACGTGCAATCTGTCTCTCTCTAGAGGGGCTGCTGTCACGTGAAAGCCTCCTGGTGTCAGTCTGAGGAATGTCACCAGCACTGAACCTTCTCTGTGGCTCCTGGGGGTCCAACTGATACATGTCTGACGACTCTGGGGGTATGGACGACATGTCAATCACAGGACTTAATGCTGCTGCGGATTGTCGTGCTTGTGAGTGGCCACCATCTTGGATATTGCTGGTGGATGATGGGAAATTAGATGAGGATGTTGGGAAGGTTGAAGAGCTGGGGAAAGTACGTCGTGATGTGGCTGTTGATGAAGGGTTCACTGAGCTGATTTCATCCAGGTCAAATGGCTGCAGACCCAACTCCTCACTAGGGGAGCTGGTGTGGAAAGTGCGATCAGGACGCAGTGGTTTAGCAGTGCTGTGGCGTACCATGGACCTGGGATGTACAGCTTCCTCACGCTCACTCCCAATACTAGGTGTCTGGAAACTCTGCATGCTGTCTTCTGTAGCATGAGAACCACGTTGGAATGGAGGCACTCTCGGAGGTGGAGGTTCCTGACCTGGATGTTCAAATGCAGGTCTGGGAGGTCCATATCTGTCGTATGGAGATGGATCTCTACTGTGATCTCGCACTGGAACCTGAGGTTCTGGTCGCATGCGACTTTGTGGACTGAAGTAGGGCTCTTCTGCATATGGAGGTTGAGAAAAGTCATCATATTCATATCCTCTATTTGAGTAGGTGTGTGGAGGCATGGAATGTGATCTAGGGCGCTCTTCATTCTGTGGAGGCTGATAATAATCATATTCCTCAGGATACCGACCTATAGGTGGAGATGAACGTGATCTGTATGGCAGATATTGTTCATCATCGTAACTACCCCTAGATGGCTGCGACAACCGACGTTCATAACCATCCCATGGTTGAAAATGAGGCTGCTGGTCATCGTAACTGTCTCGTTGATGACGAGGTTGATACCTCCTAGGAATGTGTGCCTCCTGAGATCTAGGGATGAACCTTCTCTGGTATCCAACGTCCCCGGGGGTTGGAGACCCCCGCCTTGGGTACAGATCCCCAGGGGGAGTGGGCAGGTAACTCCCTGGGGGTCCACCGGGAATATACTGACTGCTTGGCGGGTTGGCAATATAGTCTCTAAACTGCTGCGACATTCTCCGCGGGTCAAACTCAAACACTGGCCCTGGGGACATGCGGCCATGTTGTTGTGGTTGGAATCTTGGCCCAAACTGTCCCCTGTATTCATTTTCCCTACGACGAGGAGAGTATTGCCCTGTATCATACTCTTCTGGACGTGGAGAGTATCTCCTGATGGCATCCTCGTAAGAGTCTCTCCGAGAGAGATGCTCTCCACTCTCTGTGGTACGCAGGCGAGCTGAGGGGTGGTCATTGTAGTTTCCAAGGGGTCCCGCTCCTGGGGTAAAATATACATGAGGCTCACTAATTATGTCATTCACATCATGATGGTCCATGTTGACATAATTATCACCATCGCTCCACGGCAAGAACCTTCCATCTGCCGTGCGATGGATTTCACTGGGATGATGGTAGAAGTCGATGTCTACTGGATATGAACCCCCATGGTCACGATGAACTTTACGCACTTTGTCTGGCTCATAGCCAATGAAGTTTCTATCAAAAATATTTTTATCTCTTGGTCTGTTCCATTTTTCTGCGGCCAGTAAATTGTCCTTGTAAGGGTCAGTGGTCTCCTGGGGGCCGTGGACCACATATATCTCAGGTTTCACACCACTGAAACCCGAAAAGCCATCTGGGTCTTTTCTGGCATTTTTCTCTTGGCTGGAATAATAAATGAAAAAAAATTATTAAATATCTTTAGAACATATTTGATACAGTCATAATAAGTTAAGAACTGACATTAGAACACATTGCAGGTTACGTTAGCTTATTTATCAGATTGTATAAAAAGGCCCCATACTTTTTTTTACTGTTAAGTATTATTTTGCTGTAGAATATTAGTAATTCCATCAGTTTGCATTCTCTCCTCAGCAAATAGTTTGCACAGATACAGGGTATTTTAGAAGTGGGTGTAACATGGCGGGGGGGGGGGGGGGGGGGGGGGGGTTAAGCACTGCTGGGGTCCTCCCAAATAGTTAATGCACTATAATAAAACAGATTTCGGTTGCATGAAATATTTGAAGATTTCAAATGAGAGGGGCAAGGGGTGTCCTTCCTAAAGTGAAGTAAAGTCTAAATTGCAGAGGTAAGTCAGGAAGGTTTCTACAGGAGCAGAATCTGCTCAACTGTTCTGAATCTGTCCCTGAATGACGCCCCATGTTTCTGGGTGAAATGTTCCTGAATGATGCCCAATGTCCCTGAATGACGCCCAATGTCTCTGAATGATGCCCAATGTCCCTGAATGATGCCCAATGTTTCTGGGTGAAATGTCCCTGAATGATGCCCAATGTCCCTGAATGATGCCCAATGTCCCTGAATGATGCCCAATGTCCCTAAATGATGCCCAATGTCCCTGAATGATGCCCAATGTCCCTGAATGATACCCAATGTCCCTGAATGACAATGAATGCTGCCGAGTGACAATGAGTACCTCCAAATGTGAGCTTTACAGCTGCCAGAAGCAAGAAACAAAACCACAGCGAAAGCCAAAGTGAACGTGAATAGAACATGAACAGAACACATACATCCATATTAAAGTAAACCATAGGAGTATGATGAACTATTTTCCAATGAATATTTATAGTAAACTACTGATCTTATTTATCCATCATGCAATAAAAAAGTTTGAATACAACAACCATAAAACCTGTCATTTAATTTACCTTACACCATGAAATTAACAAAAATAACATCACATCCTGGCACCAGTATTATTACAATATATGTTTGTATAATAACTGGACTAGACAGAATACAGCATGCCACATAATTTTCCCCTCTTTCCATCTCTGAAAGGTTTTCAATCAATTTTTTTTAAATCACAATCTACAGTTTTGTCCAGGTCTACCTTAGTAATCAACAGTTATGGAATATTTTACCCCTAAATCTTTGTTTATCACAAATTGTAAACCTTCCATTTAGAAGTGGGGATCCTTACAGCAACTGAAGCCTTACTGAATTCAAGAGATTTTTGTAAGATTTGGGAACCAACACTAAGTGTTTGTAATAATTACATTCAATTTGGCTCTTGTAAAACATTGACACATACAACACTCACAAGCATGAATAATATGGAAAACAAGCAGTACCTTTCTTTACTTTATTGTTGCTGTTTTTTTAAAGCAAGGTAGAAGGAAGATGTTAACACAGTTCAAAATAGCACACAATTAGAGATTAGTCAGCAAGAATGTAAGGAATCTTCAGCATATTAACAATCACTGATAATACAGCTGCAGAGTAGTCAGACGAGGTGCAAGTCAGAATTTTGCATTTCTATGACATACAAATCAGGGCAGGAGCAGGCAGAGTTGATGACTTAGTCAGTTTATGAATTAGTCAGGAAATACAAACGATTTATCTTTTCCAAAATTTGACCTTTGACTAAACACTTTTAGCAGCTTACTTAAAATGCTATCTCTGACTTGAACCGAGCCTAATTTAAGAGAATTTTTGAATAATCATTTTCCAATGTTTGTTAGAAACTTTTAAGATGATGTAAGAATCATAGGTTTTAAAAAAGTTCTCAGGGTAATAAATGTAATACTACATTTTACTTCTTTTAAGATAAAAACTTGCATTTTCTCTTTCACTTGATACCTACTTTTTATTAAATGCATTTACATGGTTTGGAGTATCATATTTGATATCACCTGAAAAAAGAAAAAAAATCCCTTAAAAGACAATGTCATGTAGATGAAACCATGTCCAAACCTATGACTTTGAATTTTTTTGCAAATATCAACTCNGGGTGTTTAAGCACTGCTGGGGTCCTCCCAAATAGTTAATGCACTATAATAAAACAGATTTCTGTTGCATGAAATATTTGAAGATTTCAAATCAGAGGGGCAAGGGGTGTCCTTCCTAAAGTGAAGTAACGTCTAAATTGCAGAGGTAAGTCAGGAAGGTTTCTACAGGAGCAGAAACTGCCCAACTGTTCTGGATCTGCCCCTGACTGACGCCCCATGTTTCTGGGTGAAATGTCCCTGAATGATACCCAATGTCCCTGAATGACAATGAATGCTGCCGAGTGACAATGAGTGCCTCCAAATGTGAGCTTTACAGCTGCCAGAAGCAAAAAACAAAACCACAACGAAAGCCAAAGTGAACGTGAATAGAACATGAACAGAACACATACATCCATATAAAAGTAAACCATAGGAGTATGATGAACTATTTTCCAATGAATATTTATAGTAAACAACTGATCTTATTTACCCATCATGCAATAAAAAAAGGTTGAATACAACAACCATAAAAACCTGTCATTTAATTTACCTTACACCATGAAATTAACAAAAATAACATCACATCCTGGCACCAGTATTATTACAATATATGTTTGTATAATAACTGGACTAGACAGAATACAGCATGCCACATAATTTCCCCCTCTTTCCATCTCTGAAAGGTTTTCAATCAATTTTTTTTTAAATCACAATCTACAGTTTTGTCCAGGGCTCCGTATCTTGAAAGGTTCACTATGTTGCGCAAGTGCGCCTCGATTCCATGGCCCCATATCTCGAAATAGAATCGGTTATGGAATCGAGACTATAACGCTCGTGCGCAACATAGCGAACCTTTCGAGATACGGAGCCCAGGTCTGCCTTAATAATCATCAGTTATGGAATATTTTACCCCAAAATCTTTGTTTATCACAAATTGTAAACCTTCCATTTAGAAGTGGGGATCCTTACATCAACTGAAGCCTTACTGAATTCAAGAGATTTTTGTAAGATTTGGGAACCAACACTAAGTGTTTGTAATAATTACATTCAATATGGCTCTTGTAAAACATTGACACATACAACACTCACAAGCATGAATAATATGGAAAACAAGCAGTACCTTTCTTTACTTTATTGTTGCTGTTTTTTTAAAGCAAGGTAGAAGGAAGATGTTAACACAGTTCAAAATAGCACACAATTAGAGATTAGTCAGCAAGAATGTAAGGAATCTTCAGCATATTAACAATCACTGATAATACAGCTGCAGAGTAGTCAGACGAGGTGCAAGTCAGAATTCTGCATTTCTATGACATACAAATCAGGGCAGGAGCAGGCAGAGTTGATGACTTAGTCAGTTTATGAATTAGTCAGGAAATACAAACGATTTATCTTTTCCAAAATTTGACCTTTGACTAAACACTTTCAGCAGCTTACTTAAAATGCTATCTCTGACTTGAACCGAGCCTAATTTAAGAGAATTTTTGAATAATCATTTTCCAATGTTTGTTAGAAACTTTTAAGATGATGTAAGAATCATAGGTTTTAAAAAAGTTCTCAGGGTAATAAATGTAATACTACATTTTACTTCTTTTAAGATAAAAACTTGCATTTTCTCTTTCACTTGATACCTACTTTTTATTAAATGCATTTACATGGTTTGGAGTATCATATTTGATATCACCTGAAAAAAGAAAAAAAATCCCTTAAAAGACAATGTCATGTAGATGAAACCATGTCCAAACCTATGACTTTGAATTTTTTTGCAAATATCAACTCACTCACAAAGACGTGAAAAAGTGAAATTCAACCAGTAAATAATTGTAATAATACTATAATAGTAATTTTTATGCTTTTTCTTCAAGATGAACAAAGATTTTTTCTTAAAAAGCTTGAAGGTAAAGGAGGATGTTGCTTTCAAAGCATGAAGTCTTTGATGACAATAACAGCTGGATTTAATGATTACACCACTTCTAGTTCAATCTTCAGTTCACAATCCTCTCCCTTACCGTATTTCTCTTCTTTCCTTCTCTTCTTCTTCTGCCTTCTTACTCGGCACACAACCACAATGATAATAATGGTAATAATGAGAATGAGGACGCAGCCCACCGCAATGCTGATAATCCCCCCTGCATTAAGGATGCTCACTGGGACCACTTCTGTGAATGGAAAGAGAGAATGGAGAAGTTATTTTGTAGATGAATAACCAATGTAGGGATAGATAAGTAAATGTATAGATATCTACACTAAGGATTATATACTGATACACACTGTATCACGATGCCATTTTACCTAGTAAAACATGCACACTTTTTAACACAGTAATAGTTTCATTTTCCACCTCAGAACATGCACATATTAGGACACATTCAGAACCAGTTGATCCATGGACTAACTAGTCTGTGGATTAAATATGGCGTGCACTTGACAACGGATCCCCACTCCCACTTGCGCCAACCCTGCAGGGGCAGAGCAAATAAATTTAGTACGCTTTCAATTAGGTCCACCATATTTGATTCAGGGACTAGTAAGTCAGAGGATCAACAGGCTGTGAATGTGGCTTTAGCTCCTGATGAAGATGACTGGGATCTCCTGATGATGTGATATCAATGAGTAAATTTGCTTTAATAATACATGCATCAAAGCGACTTTAAACAATATGAACTATATCTTTTCATTAAACATGCATGTTTACATGTATTTTGGATGGAACTTTCTTGTTAACTTATTTTCTGACAGCTGACTGCCTGACACCTACTGTCTATGACAATCTCGGCCACATTGCTGGGATAGCTGTATGCATACAAGCTGTACGCAATCACTTGGAACTGGTACGTATCACCTTCCAGAAGGCCTCGTAAGGTGTAGTAAGTTTGGGGATGTTTGATTTTTCCCGATGTCGTTTCCCACCGAGCACTGCCCAGCTTTCGATATCGCAGATGGTAGTAGAAAATTGGCACTTGGGATGCAGTAGGAGGGTCCCACGACACGCGTATGGTCCCATTGTCAAACAAGATGGCGGTGATGTTTTCTGGGGTGCCTGGACGCGGACCTGGAAACAGACAACACACTCCCTACATCACTTCCATGGAACTTTACTCACCAAGAAAAAATATGTTTGATACATGACAATTTTTTAAAAAGTATATTCTCAAATTACAGGGGTAAGGACTACTGTTAATACAATACACAATGACCATTTATATTGCTGTAAGTTCAAAATAATTGCTTTCATATGTCAATTTACTATATCTATTAAGTTGGAGAATCATCAATAACATGGCTTTCTCGTAATGATCATCATGGTGGCAGTGTCCAAAATAGGATTTTGGATGACAGGAACAGAGGCAGGTGACGGCTATATGTACAGACTGTGTCTGAACATAAGAAGGTGTAAAATATAACCTAAAGAGTGACATAAATAAGTGAACTGAAATGAAGTTTGCAAGTACTTCACAAAACAATGCACCTCATCAGGCATATGATAAAATTAAAGTAAAATGCTGCTACACCTCTACATAGAAATCATATTCCATTCTTTTACACAAAAAAAGCATCATTTAGGCGTCTGAAGAGATTAGTGGATAATTAGGGTAAAAAGGACTGAAATCCTGTTTTGCAATGGTAAGAGTGTTTTGCTTAATATCACAGACATGTATGTGCGCTGACACTCCTGCATACACACAGGTGCACAATTATATGGTAATGGCTCAATTATTTTAAATAGGGAATGTGAATTTTATATACTCTGAATTCTTAAAGTCATCATTTCTTAAGATTGGAACATTCCTATTGTGTGGATGAGTTCTGATATATACAATGAGGGCTGGTCATTTCAGGACAGAAAACTCGCTCAACTAAGTGTCCAAAATAGGGTTTTGTACGACAGGGACAGATGCAGGTGACAGCTATATGTACAGATATTTACAAGTTGCTCAACTTAGGCTGTATTCCCAGAGCTTTTAGATCGATCTATCCCAGTGGGGAGTCTCACTAGATTACTGTCAGATAATCCGGCTTAAATGTCCGTCCCGCCTACTTAAAGCTGTAAGGGGGTAATTAACTTTCGTGTCTGCTCGGCTGACAGCTATTTAGCGTGTACCCCCAGGGAGTTAGGTCGATCTAAAGTAGATCGATCTAATCTCTGGAAATGGGGTCTTAGCCTTTGTGCACCTCTACATGTGTGGTCCTACCTTGTGGACTCTCAATACGAGGGAAGTACGTCTGGCCCATGGAGTTGGTGGGAGGCGTAATAGGCAAAGAACCATCATAGCCTGCAAATAAGGAATAAAACTCATGCTAACAAAATTATAGCAACTTTAACTAAGTACTGACCATGGAGAAGTAAATGATCTTATAAAAACGTTAAGAAATATGTCAAGTCACAGTGTAGGAAATTAACTGAGATAAATTATGTGCAATAAAACAGAAATAAAAGGATGAGAAACTTAAACATATTTCTGTTGGCAACAAAACCTTAAACCCTTTAACCTTTTCATTCTAAATCATACATTTTCAAAACAAATTCAATGCATGCAAGGTAATTACAAATAAAAGTATATGTAAAAACATGTAGCAAATGTGTATATAAGCTACTAAAATGACATAACAAGAGGGGAACAAACCCGTAGAACCAATCGTTCAAAGTATGGGAGTTGAAAACAAAATACATGTAGAGGGAGTTTGTAGTCATAACATCCAATACAGAACATTCCATGGGAGCAAAAGACCTTTCCCCAAAGGTCCGTGGTCCTTGTGAAAGTCCCCTATATCCGAGAACTGTGTATATATAAGTAACACAGCATGATAGGTCTACAAGTATGAGGGAGATAGGTGAAAAAAACCAACCCTCATAAAGCTAACTCTGCCAACTTTACCTTCTTCTCTTTTATAGCACATAAAACAGAAAAATCATACTGCTGTCTCTCTCTCTCTCTCTCACACACACACAAAGTACATGCATGCACATACACAACATAATTCCATTTCAATGTCACTGGGAAAATATCCATTTAGGCCACATACACAACAGAAGTTGATTCCGAGACTAACAGATCCATGGATCAAATATGGCCGACCCACTAGAACACTTGTCATGTAATTCCTGCTGGGAATCTATTTAGTGTCTATTAGGGGATAATGTGGCAAGCTTTCAAGAAAGTCAGGCATATTTGATCTGCAGAACTGTTAGTCTGCAGATTTATTTGCAGCTGAACAGTGATTTTTTGATGCTAAATTCAGGTAAAGTACTCTAAACCACAAAAACATCAACAAATTGGTTGATCTGTAACAGAAGATATTGAACAAACATGAATTTCATCCATAACTGACATCAAAGAAAGACCAGCAGTAAACTTACAAAACATGCTTCACAAATATAAATGTACTGCCAATATGCTTCGTCATGCTTTTGTGTGGACAAGTTTATTCGCAGCCGTACCCCATACATGGACATGTAACAGTCACAAAGCACTTGACCATTTCCTACACCACAGTGGAGAATGTTGCATTTTGGGAAAAGTCATTCTTTGAATTTATTCATATTTCAAAAGAAAATGGTATGGAAACTTTGATATAACACCTAGTAGATCTCCCATAGCTATGCATGATAAATTCCAATTCCTAGTCACAAGTAAATTTCAGCAATATGATTTTTATAAAGGCTTCTGAATAAATTATGCCAACAGTATACCAGTTATTGGGAGAATAACTTTGACAAGCAGAAGTGCCTGTCCCCATAATGCATTGATTGTACAAAAGGATCCCAGCATCGTAGGCCTATAAAATGGTAAGCCTTGGGATAAGTCAAATTGCCAGTCACATGATCAGGCAATTTGCATATCAGGTCACATGACATTGATTCTTACAAAAAAAGTATGTGAACAAAATAAATCCATCAACATGCGAACAGTAAGGGACAGTACCCTCTGTCAGTGTGGAAGCCGTGCTTGTTGTAGGAACCCAGCTGCTTGATGGCGTAGTGCTTCCTCTGACGGCTTTTACAAGAGAGAAAACAGAAATAAGTCATGGTCGTATCTTGTTTTCCAAATACTATTTGGGCTTAGTGCTATTTGTTAGGGGAAAAATAAAGAAATATGTTATACATTTTGGACACTCTTTTTTTCACATCTATATTTCATGGCAGGATTTTTTTCCAGTTTCCCATGTTGGTGATCAGATTAAAATCATCAAGAATGATTTGTTACACTATGTTAAGCAAATATAACTATATCAAATAATAAATTTTCAAGTCACTTTGTAACTATTCCAGTTTTGATGCTGATAAAAAAATCTACAACAATTAAACATAACATTTTTAAATACAATATTTAAAAAACATTTTTTTTGAAAATAGAAAAAGAAAATATACATGCAGTTCCATAAAATAAGATATGAAAAGAGAGTGTCCTGACACACCAATAACAGGATGATAAAATTGATAAAATATGGTGAAAAGTATTGGTAGCTTTGAGGGATAAAAAGGGAGAAAGGTGAAAAATATAAAGGCGGTTATAAAGAGATAGGCAATAGCCTGTGGTAGCTGTATCCTCTGTATGTGCTGCACACTGAAAGATTAACATGTATTAAGATGTAATATGTCAGAAATGCTTCCTAATGCTTGGAAAGAAAGAGAAAACCTGAAAAGATTAAAATGATGGACATGCTCCTTTTTCTTCTGCAAGAAATACTAGCAAATGAGCATAATAAAATAGGTAATGGTTTAGATAAGTCAAAAATATGTTCAGAATGTATAATATCAGAAACTAAACAAATCATCCCTCAAAAATTATCTTTAACAGAGAGCATTTTATCTCATTTGATCCCCTTAGATCTTTCAGACATATTTCTAGACAGTTATATCACCAATCCACAAAGGCCAACATTAAATTGAACTGAAAGTGTTTATTTAATCCTGATATCATTTCAGCTAGTAAAACATGCACTAATACTGCAGGGGAACAATTACATATCAATAGAAATTGGGCAGTCTTAGAAGTGCCTCAAAATGCAGCCAGCTGTGTTCTACCACAAGACCACTGTGCATATGAGAAAAGCAAGAGAACCTGGACAAAACTTTGGGACTGGGATACAACATGGTCATAAGTTGACCTGGACACAAAACAATTATTTTTACTTCTTTAACAAGGCCAATAAATCAAGCTTTAAAAGAACATTGACAGAAATTGTAGAAAAATAATACAGCTGAAAGTGTTAGGTGTAACTTGGGTTAGGTGTGATATGGTAAATGTGTTATGTGTGACGTAATAAATGTGTTAGGTGTGACATGGTAAATGCGTTAGGTGTGACAGCTTGAATGTGTTGGTTGATATAATCCAATAACAGAATAAGTGAACAAATGCTGAGTGTTATGATTAAATCATCCATACGAGGGATAAAATATCATGTTTATCATTCTATCCAGTAATTTTTTTATGTCTTCTCTAGAAACAAACAATATTACGAAATATTTGGCCTGTTGTCACAAACAAAGTGCTAGCATACTGTTATGAATTCTTAGAAACCACATACGTAAAGGATCATCAACAACGGCAAAATCCTCTGAAAACTCAACAATCAGTGCTGATCAGCAGGTGCAGCGACAGCAGCAGGTGCAGCACCAGTACAATAACAGCAGTAGCAATGACAATAACAACATCAAGAAATGTGTGCCAGAGAAAATGGATCTACCAGAGTGGTCAGATCTGGACGTGGAGGGTCTGGCGCGGCCTCGGGTCCTTTTCCTGTCGGGTTTGCGGCCGCCTCTGTTTCCAGGGCGACCGTTCTTGGAAGGCAATGGCAACCGAAAGGAGGAAGGAAGTGGAGGGATGTTAGTACGGAACTTCAGATTCCAGGCAAGAGGAGCTGAAGTGGTGATCCTTCTGTAATTGTTACCTGAAACTCCCAGTTAGGTTAGTGTCTTGAAGTATTCTTTTAATATCATATTTCCATTTTCTGCACCCAGTAAAAATCAACAAGTATATGAAAACAAAGTCTATTGGCCTGCAATTTGAAAGTATGTAAATTTCTTTTACAAAAATGACAATTTTTGCAAGCACAGAATGTGCCATGTTGCTTATTTTCCTCACCTTTGGTTCTGGCTAAGACTTTATTGCTAGAGAGTCCGTTACCCAGTTGGTTCCGAGACATCACCATGAACTCATAGGCTGAATCTGGGACCAACTTGTGAATTGTAAAACTTGTGGCTTCAAGAGGAAGAACACTGATTGTCTGCCAGCCCTGGTCGTTTTCCCTCTTGAACCTGGGGTAAAACAAACAAACCAATTGAAATATTCATTGCCTTAAAATTATTCTGAAGTGTTTTCTTAAAGTCAAGTAAGTTCATATTTTCTTAAAGTCAAGTAAGCTCAGAATTCCAACTGCTTTTTTAAGTTAATGAATAATAAGCACCTATACCTAAATAAAGAAAAACCTTTATTCGCTCATCAAAATTAATACACAGCTGAGAGGGTGATGGGATCAAGGTTAAAAAGCTAAAAGTTTACAAAATGGGTTCTGGTAAAACTGCAGGTACCATATCACATAACGCTGTGGGTATCCACCATCATATGCTGGCTTCCAATCTATCTTAGCAGAGAACTGGGTCGTTGTCACGGTAACATTATATGGAGCATGTGGTGTAGTCACTAGAAGTAATATACCATTGATAAAGATATATTTTGTACTGATTTAACAGTTAACCCAAGGTTAAACTGACCATGAACCTCTGATAAATTTACTTTTGATTATCAAAATGTCATGAATTATTATTCCAAAAATATGATAAGATTCGTCAGTGTTCACCTTATAATAGACATATAATATCTTGAAACAAAACAGAAAATCGTGAGTAAGAAGACTGTGTGTGACCCTTACTTTCAATAATGAGCAGCGTGCTAGTTATCACAGTGGTGACAACATTTTTGGCCACACACTCATATTTCCCATGGTCTGACTTCTGAAGCTGAGATATGGTCAGATTATGGCGATCCCTACTCACTCTGCTGTCATCAGGGACATAGGAATCCGGCTGGCAAAAGAAAAAAAAAAATTTACTGGATATGAAAAGGATATTATTCCCTTTAGGATCTTTGTTACTTTCACATGGAAATTTCCCATCTATTAAAAATGTGCAATTTCTGTGCAGGCTTATATTACTCTAGACACAAGCCTAGGTTTTAAAAAGAAGTTAATGGAATAATGTAAGTTAATGGAATATGCTATATTAGCACACTATCCAGTTCATTTCTCCAAATGGTCGTGCTTACCTTTCTCCAGGATATGACAGGCAATGGTGTCCCTGATGCCGCACACGGGAACGTGACAGACTCTCCTGGCATCCTCTGATAGTAAGGATTAGGCCTCATTGTGAAGTAGGGGGGATCTACAAGACGGAATACATGACATGAGAACATGTCACCACAATCAGTGATAATAATCAAGTAAAAACTGAAGAATGAAGATGTCTTAAAAATATTGTGTATAATGATGTAGGATACATACCTCTTACTACCACCTGCATCAGATCTGAGCTCCTTCCCATGCCATTGTCATTATAAGGAGTACATGTGTAGGCTCCCGTGTCCTCACTCCTGATGTCAGTGAACACCAGTGACCAGTCCTGACCCAGACCAATCCTAGAAATACAACACAGTGATTGTGAACATCTTATATCTCTTTATTATCAGAGGGATAGCCAAAAACTCCCTCTCTCTCTTCTCCCTCTTCTTTCTGCCTTTCTCTCTCTCCATCTCCTCTGTCTCCCCCTCTCTCTTCTTTCCTTCTTTCTCTTTCTCATTTCTCTCACCCCTTCCTTTCCTCTCTCTCTCTCTCTCTCACACACACCTGCCATTACCAGTCAAATCCACCAGTTGGTTATTCTTGGTTCTCTCTCTCTCTCTCTCGTTCTCTTCTCTCTTATACACACACACACACGCGCACGCATGCACGCGCTTGCACACACCTGCCATTGCTAGACAAATCCACCAGCTGGTTATTCTTGGTCCAGGTGACGGTGTAGACAGGTGGGTTGGCGTCTATGGGGCACGGCAGGTAGTCTGTCATGCCTTTGGGAAAATATACATTGCGTTCCACTGGCAACACCTCTGGTGGATCTGAGAGAAGTAAAATTGATAAAATCAGCTCATGATATTACCACAGGGGAATCTCTCTCTTCAGCTATATCTTGTGTAAATCTAAGTCTGGCTTCCCATGCCTAGAACGATCCAACTGGATCAGTCTTACTCCCTGGGGCTTAACTAGGCGTAACAGACATTTAAGATGGTTAAGTTGATAGCAATTTAGTGAGACTCGCCAGGAAGATAGATCGAACCAAATATCTGTGGGAATGGTACCTTAGTTTAGTGGGGTATCAGGGCAATGGCTGACAATAAGTGACACCACCATTATGGTGACACTGATCAGTTTACTTATAGCACACAGAGATTTGACATTAAGAGAACAAATACAGAGTTTTGCTGAAAACAAGATGACTTAGATCACCTCTGAATTTTATTCAAGTTCAATAATTATTTCCCATTCAATCATTGTCAATTTTTGAACCTATTTTTAAAAAATTAAAAAAGTAAAAGCCAAATTAAAACATTATCAGCTTTTGGATATAATTCCATAAATTGATGTGAGCTGAGAGCTATGTACCCAAGCCCAATTCTTACAAGGCATAAGCAGATAAATGAGAATGTCAAAATTGGCTGGGTTCCTCATCTTATGCGTCGGATGCAGACAGCCAATAGCCATTAATCCTGAAGTAACAGACCTTCACATGAATGAAGAATCATCACCGCTGTACGTACAAAAGACATGGGCTCTATTTTTAGGTCTAATTACATTTCCTGTAAAGCCGTCATGGAAGAAATCACAGTGCATTTGTACTGTAATCCCATAAGATGTAAGTACAAGACATTCCCTCTCTCCACAATAAACAGAAAAGAATTAGCTAATGTCCCTATTCCCATAACTCTCCATCATACAGCGCCATCTGGCAGAACCTTAGGAGAGAAGGGGCTATGCCAATGTTGACGAAAAAAAAATTCACTATTGCTACAAGAACTTTGTTTTGTTTTCCCCTACAATTTATCATTACAACAGTCTGTCTAGAGAAACATTTGGAGAACATAGCAGTTTTATTTTTTTGTATCAAAAGGCAAGTTTGTAACTATATATTCAACTAGAGGATCAGAGAGGCGATACCGCCTCCGGATATTGTACCACCAGCTGGAGTAAGCGCATTCGTATGGAANATACACTGTATCATGATGCCATTTTAACTAGTAAAACATGCACACTTTTTAACACAGTAACAGTTTCATTTTCCACCTCAGAACATGCACATATTAGGACACATTCAGAACCAGTTGATCCATGGACTAACTAGTCTGTGGATTAAATATGGCGTGCACTTGACAACGGATCCCCACTCCCACTTGCGCCAACCCTGCAGGGGCAGAGCAAATAAATTTAGTACGCTTTCAATTAGGTGCACCATATTTGATTCAGGGACTAGTAAGTCAGAGGATCAACAGGCTGTGAATGTGGCTTTAGCTCCTGATGAAGATGACTGGGATCTCCTGATGATGTGATATCAATGAGTAAATTTGCTTTAATAATACATGCATCAAAGCGACTTTAAACAATATGAACTATATCTTTTCATTAAACATGCATGTTTACATGTATTTTGGATGGAACTTTCTTGTTAACTTATTTTCTGACAGCTGACTGCCTGACACCTACTGTCTATGACAATCTCGGCCACATTGCTGGGATAGCTGTATGCATACAAGCTGTACGCAATCACTTGGAACTGGTACGTATCACCTTCCAGAAGGCCTCGTAAGGTGTAGTAAGTTTGGGGATGTTTGATTTTTCCCGATGTCGTTTCCCACCGAGCACTGCCCAGCTTTCGATATCGCAGATGGTAGTAGAAAATTGGCACTTGGGATGCAGTAGGAGGGTCCCACGACACGCGTATGGTCCCGTTGTCAAACAAGATGGCGGTGATGTTTTCTGGGGTGCCTGGACGCGGACCTGGAAACAGACAACACACTCCCTACACCACTTCCATGGAACTTTACTCACCAAGAAAAAATATGTTTGATACATGACAATTTTTTAAAAAGTATATTCTCAAATTACAGGGGTAAGGACTACTGTTAATACAATACACAATGACCATTTATATTGCTGTAAGTTCAAAATAATTGCTTTCATATGTCAATTTACTATATCTATTTAAAATATACTTTTATACTTTACAACACAAAAATAAGATAACAAACACATACAGTTCACATCAACAATAACAAACAAGGCAGCAAAGCTGTCAAATGTACAGACAAAAAGCAGAAAATGATAATGCAAAAATTCTGATGCAATAATACATTATGCTTAACTATCACTTCTAGAATAAGAAGCCAATTTGACTGCTTTGCCAACTCAGGCTGCATTTTAGTCCAATGTTTTTTTTTTTTTTTTTTTTGTAAGTTGGAGAATCATCAATAACATGGCTTTCTCGTAATGATCATCATGGTGGCAGTGTCCAAAATAGGATTTTGGATGACAGGAACAGAGGCAGGTGACGGCTATATGTACAGACTGTGTCTGAACATAAGAAGGTGTAAAATATAACCTAAAGAGTGACATAAATAAGTGAACTGAAATGAAGTTTGCAAGTACTTCACAAAACAATGCACCTCATCAGGCATATGATAAAATTAAAGTAAAATGCTGCTACACCTCTACATAGAAATCATATTCCATTCTTTTACACAAAAAAAAAAGCATCATTTAGGCGTCTGAAGAGATCTGTGGATAATTCGGGTAAAAAGGACTGAAATCCTGTTTTGCAATGGTACAAGTGTTTTGCTTAATATCACAGGTATGTATGTGCGCTAACACTCCTGCATACATACAGGTGCACAATTATATGGTAATGGCTCAATTATTTTAAATAGGGAATGTGAATTTTATATACTCTGAATTTTTAAAGTCATCATTTCTTAAGATTGGAACATTCCTATTGTGTGGATGAGTTCTGATATATACAATGAGGGCTGGTCATTTCAGGACAGGAAACTCGCTCAACTAAGTGTCCAAAATAGGGTTTTGGACGACAGGGACAGATGCAGGTGACAGCTATATGTACAGATATTTACAAGTTGCTCAACTTAGCCTTTGTGCACCTCTACATGTACACTCCTACCTTGTGGACTCTCAATACGAGGGAAGTAGGTCTGGCCCATGGAGTTGGTAGGAGGTGTGATAGGCAAAGAACCATCATAGCCTGCAAATACGGAATAAAACTCATGCTAACAAAATTATAGCAACTTTAACTAAGTACTAACCATGGAAAAGTAAATGATCTTGATAAAAATGTTTAAGAAATATGTCAAGTCACAGTGTAGGAAATTAACTGAGATAAATTATATGCAATAAAACAGAAATAAAAGGATGAGAAACTTAAACATTTCTGTTGGCAACAAAACCTTAAACCCTTTTCATTCTAAATCATACATTTTCAAAACAAATTCAATGCATGCAAGGTAATTACAAATAAAAGTATATGTTTTTTAAAAACATGTAGCAAATGTGTATGTAAGCTACTAAATGACATAACAAGAGGGGAACAAACCCGCAGAACCAATCGTTCTAAGTATGGGAGTTGAAAACAAAATACATGTAGTGGGGGTTTGTAGTCATAACATCCAATACAGAACATTCCATGGTAGCAAAAGGCCTTTCCCCAAAGGCCCGTTGTCCTTGTGAAAGTCCCCTATATCTGAGATCTGTGTATATACGTAACACAGCATGATAGGTCTACAAGTATGAGGGAGATAGGTGAAAAAAACCAACCCTCATAAAGCTAACTCTGCCAACTTTACCTTCTTCTCTTTTATAGCACATAAAACAGAAAAATCATACTGCTGTCTCTCTCTCTCTCTCTCACACACACACACACACAAAGTACATGCATGCACATACACAACATAATTCCATTTCAATGCCACTGGGAAAATATCCATTTAGGCCACTTACACTACAGAAGTTGATTTGGAGACTAACAGATCCATGGATCAAATATAGCCGACCCACTAAAACACTTGTCATGTAATTCCTGCTGGGAATCTATTTAGTGTGTATTAGGGGATTATGTGACAAGCTTTCAAGAAAGTCAGCCATATTTGAGTTGCAGAACTGTTAGTCTGCAGATCCATTTGCAGCTCAACAGTGATTTTTTGAAGTAATCTAAACCACAAAAACATCAACAAATTGGTTGATCTGTAACAGAAGATATTGAACAAACATGAATTTCATCCATAATTGATATAAAAGAAAGACCAGCAGTAAACTTACACAACATGCTTCACAAATATAAGTGTATTACCAATATGCTTTGACATGCTTTTGTGAACAAGTTTATTCACAGCCGTACCCCATACATGTACATGTAACAGTCACAAAGCACTTGACCATTTCCTACACCATAGTGGGGAATGCTGCATTTTGGGAAAAGTCATCCACTGAATTCATTTAAATTTCAAAAGAAAAAAGTATGAAACTTCAAAATAACAGCTAGTTGACTCTCCCATAGCTATGCATGATAAATTCCAATTCCACAAGTAAATTTCAGCAATTTGATTTTTATAAAGGCTTCTGAATAAATTATGCCAACAGTATACCAGTTATTAAGAGAATAACTTTAACAAGCAGAAGTGCCTATTCCCATAATGCACTGATTGTACAAAATGATCCCAGCATTGTAGGTCTATAAAATGGTAAGCCTTGGGATAAGTCAATTTGCCAGTCACGTGATCAGGCAATTTGCATATCAGGTCACATGACATTGATTCTTATAAAAAAAAGTATGTGAACAAAATAAATCCATCAACATGCAAACAGTAAGGGAAAGTACCCTCTGTCAGTGTGGAAGCCGTGCTTGTTGTTGTAGGAACCCAGCTGCTTGATGGCGTAGTGCTTCCTCTGACAGCTTTTACAAGAGAGAAAACAGAAATAAGCCATGGTCGTATCTTGTTTTCCAAATACTATTTGGGCTTAGTGCTATTTGTTAGAGGGGAAAATAAAGAAATATGTTATACATTTTGGACACTCTTTTTTTCACATCTATATTTCATGGCAGGATTTTTTTTCCAGTTTCCCATGTTGGTGATCAGATTAAAATCATCAACAATGATTTGTCACACTATGTTAAGCAAATATAACTATATCAAATAAAAATTTTTCCAGTTGCTTTGTACCTATTCTGGTTTTGATGCTGATAAAAAATCTACAGCAATTAAACAAAATATTTTTTTGAAAATAGAAAAAGAAAATATACATGCAGTTCCATAAAATAAGATATGAAAAGAGAGTGTCCTCACACACCAATTACAGGATGATGAAATTGATAAAATATGGTGAAAAGTATTGGTAGCTTTGAGGGATAAAAAGGGAGAAAGGAGAAAAATATAAAGAAGGGGTGTTATAAAGAAATAGTCAATAGCCTGTGGTAGCAGCTATATCTTCTGTATGTGCTGCACACTGAAAGATTAATATGTATTAAGATGTCATATGTCAGAAATGCTTCCTAATGCTTGGAAAGAAAGAGAAAACCTGAAAAGATTTAAATGATGGAGATGCTCCTTTTTCTTCGCAAGAAATGCTAGCAAATGAGCATAATAAAATAATAGAGGTAATGGTTTAGATAAGTCAAAAATATGTTTGGAATGTCTAATATCAGAGACTAAACAAATCATCCCTCAAAAATTATCTTTAGCAGAGAGCATTTTATCTCATTTGATCCCCTTAGATCTTTCAGACATATTTCTAGACAGTTATATCACCAATCCACAAAGGCCAACATTAAATTGAACTGAAAGTGTTCATTTAATCCTGATATCATTTCAGCTAGTAAAACATGCACTAATACTGCAGGGGAACAATTACATATCAATAGAAATTGGGCAGTCTTAGAAGTGCCTCAAAATGCAGCCAGCTGTGTTCTACCACATGACCACTGTGCATATGAAAAAAGCAAGAGAACCTGGACAAAACTTTGGGACTGGGATACAACATGGTCATAAGTTGACCTGGACACAAAACAATTATTTTCACTTCTTTAACAAGGCCAATAAATCAAGCTTAAAAAGAACATTGACAGAAATTGTAGAAAAATAATACAGCTTAAAGTGTTAGGTGTAACTTGGGTTAGGTGTGATATGGGAAATGTGTTATGTGTGAGGTAATAAATGTGTTAGGTGTGACATGGTAAATGCGTTAAGTGTGACAGCTTGAATGTGTTGGTTGATATAATCCAATAACAGAATAAGTGAACAAATGCTGAGTGTTATGATTAAATCATCCATAGGAGGGATAAAATATCATGTTTATCATTCTATCCAGTAATTTTTTTATGTCTTCTCTAGAAACAAACAATATTAAGAAATATTTGGCCTGTTGTCACAAACAAAGTGCTAGCATACTGTTATGAATTCTTAGAAACCACATATGTAAGGAACCATCAACAACGGCAAAATCCTCTGAGAACTCAACAATCTGTGCTGATCAGCAGGTGCAGCGACAGCAGCAGGTGCAGCACCAGTACAATAACAGCAGTAGCAATGACAATAACAACATCAAGAAATGTGTGCCAGAGAAAATGGATCTACCAGAGTGGTCAGATCTGGACGTGGAGGGTCTGGCGCGGCCTCGGGTCCTTTTCCTGTCAGGTTTGCGGCCGCCTCTGTTTCCAGGGCGACCGTTCTTGGAAGGCAATGGCAACCGAAAGGAGGAAGGAAGTGGAGGGATGTTAGTACGGAACTTCAGATTCCAGGCAAGAGGAGCTGAAGTGGTGATCCTTCTGTAATTGTTACCTGAAACTCCCAGTTAGGTTAGTGTCTTGAAGTATTCTTTTAATATCATATTTCCATTTTCTGGACCCAATAAAAAGCAATAAGTATATGAAAACAAAGTCTATTGGCCTGCAATTTGAAAGTATGCAAATTTCTTTTACAAAAATGACAATTTTTGCAAGCACAGAATGTGCCATGTTGCTTATTTTCCTCACCTTTGGTTCTGGCTAAGACTTTATTGCTAGAGAGTCCGTTACCCAGTTGGTTCCGAGACATCACCATGAACTCATAGGCTGAATCTGGGACCAACTTGTGAATTGTAAAACTTGTGGCTTCAAGAGGAAGAACGCTGATTGTCTGCCAGCCCTGGTCATTTTCCCTCTTGAACCTGGGGTAAAACAAATGAACCAATTGAAATATTCATTGCATTCAAATTATTCTGAAGTGTTTTCTTAAAGTCAGGTAAGTTCATATTTTCTTAAAGTCAAGTAAGCTCAGAATTCAAACTGCTTTTTTAAGTTAATGAATAATAAGCACCTATACCTAAATAAATAAAAAAAAACAAAACTTTATTCGCTCATCAAAACTAATACACAGCTGAGAGGGTGATGGGATCAAGGTTAAAAAGCTAAAAGTTTACAAAATGAGTTCTGGTAAAACTGCAGGTACCATATCACATAACGCTGTGGGTATCCACCATCATATGCTGGCTTCCAATCTATCTTAGCAGAGAACTGGGTCGTTGTCACGGTAACATTATATGGAGCATGTGGTGTAGTCACTGGAAGTAATATACCATTGATAAAGACATATTTAGTACTAATTTAACAGTTAACCCAAGGTTAAACTGACCACGAACCTCTGATAAACAAATTTACTTTTGATTATCAAAATGTCATGAATTATTATTCCAAAAATATTATAAGATTCATCAGTGTCCACCTTATAAAAGACATAATATCTTAAAACAAAACAGAAAATCGTGAGTAAGAAGCCTGTGTGTGACCCTTACTTTCAATAATGAGCAGCGTGCTAGTTATCACAGTGGTGACAGCATTTTTGGCCACACACTCATATTTCCCATGGTCTGACTTCTGCAGCTGAGATATGGTCAGATTATGGCGATCCCTACTCACTCTGCTGTCATCAGGGACATAGGAATCCGGCTGGGGGGAAAAAAAGAGAAAAAATTTTGTAATGGACATGAAAAGGACATTATTCCCTTTAAGACTTATGTTACCTTCACATGGAAATGTCCCATCTATTAAAAATGTGCAATTTCTGCACAGGCTTATATTACTCCAGACACAAGCCTAGGTTTTAAAAAATGCTAATGGAATAATGATAGTTAATGGAATATGCTACATTAGCACACTATCCACTTCACTTCTCCAAATGGTCGTGCTTACCTTTCTCCAGGATATGACAGGCAATGGTGTCCCTGATGCCGCACACGGGAACGTGACAGACTCTCCTGGCATCCTCTGATAGTAAGGATTGGGCCTCATTGTGAAGTAGGGGGGATCTACAAGACGGAATACATAACATGAGAACATGTCACCACAATCAGTGATAATAATCAAGTAAAAACTGAAGGATGAAGATGTCTTAAAAATATTGTGTATAATGATGTAGGATACATACCTCTTACTACCACCTGCATCAGATCTGAGCTCCTTCCCATGCCATTGTCATTATAAGGAGTACATGTGTAGGCTCCCGTGTCCTCACTCCTGATGTCAGTGAACACCAGTGACCAGTCCTGACCCAGACCAATCCTAGAAATACAACACAGCGATTGTGAACATCTTATATCTCTTTATTATTAGAGGGATGGCCAAAAGCTCCCTCTCTCTTCTTTCTCTCTCCACCCCCTCTGCCCCCCCTGTCTCTCCTTTCCTTCTTTTTCTCTCTCATTTCTCTCACCCCTTCCTTTCCTCTCTCTCTCTCTCTCTCACACACACACAACACACACACACACCTACACACACACACACACATACACACACACACACACACACACACACCTGCCATTGCTAGACAAATCCACCAGCTGGTTATTCTTGGTCCAGGTGACAGTGTAGACAGGTGGGTTGGCGTCTATGGGGCACGGCAGGTAGTCCGTCATGCCTTTGGGAAAATATACATTGCGTTCCACTGGCAACACCTCTGGTGGATCTGAGAGAAGTAAAATTGATAAAATCAGCTCATGATATTACCACAGGGGAATCTATCTTCAGCTATATCTTGTGTAAATATAAGTCTGGCTTCCCATGTCTAGAATGATCCAACTGGATCAGTCTTACTCCCTGGGGCTTAACTAGGCGTAACAGACATTTAAGCTGGTTAAGTTGATAGCAATTTAGTGAGACTCCCCAGGAAGATAGATCGAACCAAATATCTGTGGGAATGGTCCCTTAGTTTAGTGGGGTATCAAGTCAATGGCTGACAATAAGTGCCACCACCATGATGGTGACAATGATCAGTTTACTTATAGCACACAGAGATTTGACATTAAGAGAACAAATACAGAGTTTTGCTGAAAACAAGATGACTTAGATCACCTCTGAATTCTATTTAAGTCCAATAATTATTTCCCATTCAATCATTGTCAATTTTTGAACCTATTTTTAAAAAATTAAAAAAGTAAAAGCCAAATCAAAACATTATCAGCTTTTGGATATAATTCCATAAATTGATGTGAGCTGAGAGAGATGTACCCAAGCCCAATTCTTACAAGGCATAAGCAGATAAATGAGAATGTCAACATTGGCTGGGTTCCTCATCTTATGCGTCGGATGCAGACAGCCAATAGCCATTAATCCTGAAGTAACAGACCTTCACATGAATGAAGAATCATCACCGCTGTACGTACAAAAGACATGGGCTCTATTTTTAGGTCTAATTACATTTCCTGTAAAGCCGTCATGGAAGAAATCACAGTGCATTTGTCCTGTAATCCCATAAGATGTAAGTACAAGAAATTCCCTCTCTCCACAATAAACAGAAAAGAATTAACTAATGCCCCTATTCCCATAACTCTCCATCATACAGCGCCATCTGGCAGAACCTTAGGAGAGAAGGGGCTATGCCAATGTTGACGAAAAAAAAATTCACTAATTGCTCCAAGAACTTTGTTTTGTTTTCCCCTACAATTTATCATTACAACAGTCTGTCTGGAGAAACATTTGCAGAACATAGCAGTTTTATATTTTTGTATCAAAGGGCAAGTTTGTAACTATTTAATAAAAGAAAAACATGTCGTTAATAAAACAATCTAACCGTATTTGAAATGATAAAATTTTCTTTGGCCAAGGTGATATTTTCTTTATCTAAAGCATATACAGGATATTTCCATATTTTCTTTTTTCATTTAGGAAAAGAATTCTAGTGCCAGGAATACCCTGCATCACATGTGTGAAATAGTACAGTTGTGAACAGGCTAGCCTACTTACAGTCATATTGAGATATGCCTTAGCCTACTTACAGGTCACATTGAGATATGCCTTAGCCTACTTACAGTCATATTGAGATATGCCTTAGCCTATTTACAGGTCACACTGAGATATGCCTTAGCCTACTTACAGGTCATGTTGAGATACGCCTTAGCTTACTTACTAGTCACATTGAGATATGCCTTAGCCTATTTACAGGTCACACTGAGCTATGCCTTAGCCTACTTACAGGTCACATTGAGATATGCCTTAGCCTACTTACAGGTCACGTTGAGATATGCCTTAGCCTACTTACAGATCACGTTGAGATAAGCCTTAGCCTACTTACAGGTCACGTTGAGATACGCCTTAGCCTCTGGGGCCATGCCAATGCCGTTAGTGGGTCGACACCTGTACCATCCTGAGTCTGTGCGGAGAACATTACTAATGACCAAACGGCCATCAATTTGAATTTCACCACGCTCCATGAACTTTGGGTGTAACTTTACATCTACATTGTCTCTGTACCATCTGAAAGATATATGATATAATTAAATAATAATGCTTAATGTTCATTTAGCAGAAGCAATTTCGTACACCCTTTTTATGTTTATGGGTGCATTTACAATGAAACTATCATTGTAGGTGGTTCTGACTAACTCTCTGGGGTCTAACTCTCTGCGGACTAACTCTCTGGGGACTAACTCTCTGGCGACTCTCACTAAATGCAATCATATTATAAGATGAATACACCTCCTCCTGGTGATTATACGAGTACCTTGGGAACAAGAAGAGACATATTAATCTGATTGCATTCAGCAAGAGTTCTTGCAAAGTAACTTTGAACTGCTTAGTTCAATAGATTCATTGTAAATGCTACCATAAGTAAATGAACTGAACTAATGAAAACTCTGAAATTGCCTTCTGTTGTCTTAATTTTAGTTTTCAGAAATATCACCTGTAGGTGATGTTGCTAGGAAAGGCCTGTTTGTAGGTGAAGTTGCTATGGAAGACTCACCTGTAGGTGATATTTTCAGGGTATCCCTCAGCCTGGCAGTTCAGCTTTACCTTCTGGAACTCCCTCACTGTGGTATTCTCAGGAGGTGTCATAATGAAGGCACTGCCTGAAATAGACAGCAATATATCTTTGATGCATGAAGATCATGTTGTTTTAACTCATTTTTTTCTTTTTACATGAAAAAAAGCATGTACTTTGTACCTTTAAACCCTGAAGCATATAAGAATTAAGTTGACAGGGTAAGGGCCTTATGGTGAGGGGGCAGTGCTCTCTGATACAGTATTTACATCTATTTCTCAGCTGATATTTACACAATATATTCAATAAATTCTAATGCAGAAAAAAATGCTAAAAGTGCTTTTCTCCTTAATTCCAATAGAATCCATCTCAATTCCTCTGTACTTTCCAACACCCCAGGGGTACACGCGGGCATCAATAACACAACCAGGGCCATAGTTAATGGAGAGGAGGATGAATGGCAACTGAGACTTCAACAAAATGTCAAGATCAATTGTCTGAAACATCCTACTACTGCTTCTTAGACTGGACTTTTCAGCTAAATCTTATTGTCATGGCAACCAGGACTGGAACTATCTGAACTGAATTCACCAGTGGAGGAGTTGGATTTCTCTGGGATTCAAATGCCAAAGTGACTCAGAGTTCTAACGTATTTCAATCCTCCACTTGATCTCTCACCGCTTTTGATTTTTAATTAACTTCTCAAAGTATAAGAAAATTTTAATAACTTTCTTTGCAAGCACTTGCAATTTTCTTTTCTGTCATGTGAGATATGTGAGGAGTCTCAAACATGAAAGCTAATAACCAAATGTAAAATTAGACCAAATAGATCCCACTGTTCTCAGCCAGTTTCTCAGCTACACCCAGTGATAGACAGGAATAATCAAAGACTGCAAGGAAATCTGTCAATTCACACGTTTGTCCCACAAACTGAGACAATGTGACTGTCCCACACTGCGTATGATAAAAGGTAAAACACAGATGAATCCTAAAGATTTTCCAAAATAGACTTTCGTTTTTACATAAGTCGTTATCAGTAATGGTTGAAATGTATTATGAGGAGATGTGAGTAATGACCTTATATTACTGTGACAGTGTCTTATCTAAATTAGTCTATTTGTGAATCTGACACTAAAAGATATGCCACAGTTTTTATTAAAATACCCTTCAATAGCATGCTGGCTTGAATATATTAATTCTGTGTTGAAAAAGACTTATCTGTTTACCACACTGTGAGTACATCTTAGACTGGGTTCCCATACCTAGATCGATCTAACAGGATCGATCCTCTCTGATGGATTTCTTGCTAAATTGCTTTCAGCTTAAGTGGCTTAGATGTCTGATATGCCTACTGAAGCTGCCAAACAATCATTAATTATCCCCTTGCAGGTTAAGTAGGCATGACAGACATCTAAGCTACTTAAGTTGATAGCAATTTAGTGAGAATCCCCATGGAGATAGATCGATCCACAGTTAGTACAATAGGGTCTGGGACATAAAAAATATCTCCAGTGAGCAAAAGTGAATGTGTGTGAAAAAAAGAAAATAAATTATCTACTTTACAATTTCTATATTTGTATTAAATCTTTCAACAGGAATCTCTCTTAATAAGCACATATCATTTGTACTTCTAAAATATAATATAAAAGGGTTTGAACTCACACAAAATTAGTAAACTAATGAGAGAGAGAGAGAGAGAGAGAGAGAGAGAGAGAGAGAGAGAGAGAAAGAGAGAGAAANGTAACGATGACATGGCGGCGGAGCCGCAGGAGCCGGCGGAACATACGGGTCGGGACTAAAACCATGTGTACCGCCAGCGCCTACGCTGGTGGTACAATAAAAGAAATAGTACAGTTGTGAACAGGCTAGCCTACTTACAGGTCACATTGAGATATACCTTAGCCTACTTACAGGTCACATTGAGATATACCTTTGCCTACTTACAGGTCACACTGAGATATACCTTAGCCTACTTACAGGTCACGTTGAGATATGCCTTAGCCTACTTACAGGTCACGTTGAGATACGCCTTAGCCTCTGGGGCCATGCCAATGCCGTTAGTGGGTCGACACCTGTACCATCCTGAGTCTGTGCGGAGAACATTACTAATGACCAAACGGCCATCAATTTGAATTTCACCACGCTCCATGAACTTTGGGTGTAACTTTACATCCACATTGTCTCTGTACCATCTGAAAGATATATGATATAATTAAATAATAATGCTTAATGTTCATTTAGCAGAAGCAATTTCGTACACTCCTTTTTTGTTTATGGGTGCATTTACAATTAAACTATCATTGTAGGTGGTTCCAACTAACTCTCTGAATGCAGTCACATTATAAGATGAATACACCTCCTCCGGGCATTGAGTAGAATACAGAAAAGCTAGTGATTATACAAGTACCTTGGAAACGAGGAGAATCACCTGTAGGTGACACTGCTATGGAAGACTCACCTGTAGGTAATGTTGCTAGGAAAGGCCTATTTGTAGGTGATTTTGTTAGGGAAGACTCACCTGTAGGTAATGTTGCTAGGAAAGGCCTATTTGTAGGTGATTTTGCTAGGGAAGACTCACCTGTAGGTAGCTAGGGAAGACTTAACTGTAGGTGATGTTGCTAGGGAAGACTCACCTGTAGGTGATATTGCTAGGGAAGACTCACCTGTAGGTGATGTTGCTAGGAAAGGCCTATTTGTAGGTTGCTAGGGAAGACTCACCTGTAGGTGACATTGCTAGGGAAGACTCACCTGTAGGTGATGTTGCTAGGAAAGGCCTATTTGTAGGTGATGTTGCTATGGAAGACTCACCTGTAGGTGATATTTTCAGGGTATCCCTCAGCCTGGCAGTTCAGCTTCACCTTCTGGAACTCCCTTACTGTGGTATTCTCAGGAGGCGTCATAATGAATGCACTGCCTAGAATAGATAGAAATATATCTTGAATGCGTGAGGATTATGTTGTTATAACCATGGGCATTTTTTTACATGAAAAAAAGCATGTACTTTGTACCTTTAAACCCTGAAGCATATAAGAATTAAGTTGACAGGGTAAGGGCCCTATGGTGAGGGGGCAGTGCTCTCTGATACAGTACTTGCATCTATTTCTCAGCTGATATTTACACAATATATTCAATAAATTCTAATGCAGAAAAAATGCTAAAAGTGCTTTTCTACTTTATTCCAATAGAATCCATCTCAATTCTTCTGTACTTTCCAACACCCCAGGGGTACACGCGGGCATCAATAACACAACCAGGGCCATAGTTAATGGAGAGGAGGATGAATGGCAACTGGGACTTCAACAAAATGTCAAGATCAATTGTCTGAAACATCCTACTACTGCTGCTTAGACTGGACTTTTCAGCTAACTCTTGTTGTCATGGCAACCTGGACTGGAACTATCTGAACTGAATTCACCAGTGGAGGAGTTGGATTTCTCTGGGATTCAAATGCCAAAGTAACTCATAGTTCTAACGTATTTCAATCTCCCACTTGATCTCTCACCGCTTTTGATTTTTAATTAACTTCTCAAAGTATAAGAAAATTTTAATAACTTTCTTTGCAAGCACTTGCAACTTTCTTTTCTGTCATGTGAGATATGTGAGGAGTCTCAAACATGAAAGCTAATAAGCAAATGTAAAATTAGACCAAATAGATCCCACTGTTCTCAGCCAGTTTCTCAGCTACACCCAGTGATAGACAGGAATAATCAAAGACTGCAAAGAAATCTGTCAATTCACATGTTTGTCCCACAAACTGAGACAATGTGACTATCCCACACTGTGTATGATAAAAGGTAGGTAAAACACAGATGAATCCTAAAGATTTTCCAAAATAGACTTTCGTTTTAACATAAGTCGTTATCAGTAATGGTTGAAATGTATTATGAGGAGATGTGAGTAATGACTTATATTACTGTGACAGGGTCTTATCTAAATTAGTCTATTTGTGAATCTGACACTAAAAAATATACCACAGTTTTTATTAAAATACCATTCAATAGCATGCTGGCTTGAATGTATTAATTCTGTGTTGAAAAAGACTTATCTGTTTATCACACTGTGAGTAGATCTTAGACTGGGTTCCCATACCTAGATTGATCTAACAGGATCGATCCTCTCTGAGGGATTTCTTGCTAAATTGCTTTAAGCTTAAGTGGCTTAGATGTCTGACATGCCTACTGAAGCTGCCAAACAATCATTAATAATCCCCTAGCAGCTTCAGTAGGCATGACAGACATCTAAGCTACTTAAGTTGATAGCAATTTAGTGAGAATCCCCATGGAGATAGATCGATCCACAGTTAGTACAATAGGGTCTGGGACATAAAAACATCTCCAGTGAGCAAAAGTGAATGTGTGTGAAAAAAAGAAAATAAATTATCTACTTCTATATTTGTATTAAATCTTTCAACAGGAATCTCTCTTAATAAGCATATATCATTTGTACTTCTAAAATATAATGTAAAAGGGTTTGAACTGACACAAAATTAGTAAACTAATGAAAGAGAGAGAGAGAGAGAGAGAGAGAGAGAGAGACTAGTTTCATTATTACAGTTTGTCTGATGAAGATTCTTAGTCAGTCTGTCTGTCTCTTTCTCTATTCTCATTCCCTCTGTTCCTATGTTAATCTGTATTTCCCAAAATCACACTAACAATGCATAGATAAACAATACTACTACTAAAAATATAATAATAACAATAAAAATCTCACTATACCTTGTCTGAACTGTTTCATGGACATAATGGTCACATTACATGTTCTATTAAAAATCCAAGCTTCACTGGACAGTTGTGTTAAGAAGAAGGTTACAGAGAAAACATTGGCGGTCACCACCACCCCCATCCTCACTGACACCTGGTGTCCACTGGCAGTGGTGAAATCAATGCTCACACTCTCTCTGACAGTGGAGAAACAGAAGTACGGTAAATACTCATGGATTTCAAAGCCCCCAACTTTTCCTTTCAAGCGTTGCTAATTTTTTACTCACTAAATAAAAATTTTGTCATGATCCAAGACCTTTATTTTTTGGAAATACTAAATCATCTTTCTAAGGCATTACATGCAATATATGATCACCCCGAAAGAATTAATCCATTTTGTTCAAATCAAGTGAATAAGTACCGTACCAAGCAGAAAGCATCCATCTTTCCCTCATTGATTCAGCTGTCGAATCCAATGTATTTGCTAAGTTGAACAATTGGGCTGGGAGGCTGCACACATACAGGAAATTAACTCCTCTCTTTTCAGTAGGACTTTATTCTTTATCCATTACTGACATTCAGAAAGTTTGTAGGAGTGCATTAACTCTTCCTTGACACCTAATTTGCACCTTTTATTATCTTCTAGGATGAAATTACTTTAAATTTCCATGAATAGATAAATGCACTAATGAATGAAGAAATGAAAGGATGAATTATTGGACAGGTGCATCAAAGAATCAATCAAAGATCCAATTAATCAAATATGGAAAAGCATCTTTAAGAAGGCACCTTAACTGAAAGATTTTATTTTTGTGTGACATATTTGAAATGAGCCCTTAAATGTATACTGAATTAATCAATCACTTTCTGTAAAAAATCTACCAAACTTTCTCAGCAACACCAAATCCCCCTTAAGAGAGTACAAGTGAACTTAACAGGTGCTCTAAACAAATAGAAGATCACCAATCACCCGGTAGTCTTCCTTCCATTTCCTGAACCATCAACCACCCTAACATTGTTACCAGCTAGACAAGTCTCAGCAGAATTTAAATGGAATCCTTAACAACTGAGAGACTCCACAGAACCCCACACTCCGAGGAGGAACGTTTACACATTTGAACAAAATGCTGCAAACCTGGCTCTCTCCAAGACAAGACCAACAAGACAAGGCACTAGTTTAGTTGCATAAGAAAATGTATCCTTGCGCGAGCCCACACACACACAAAGACACACACACACACATATACACTCACACTCCCTCAAGAGAAAAGCACACTCTAACCGATGCATGTGAAAGTGCACAAACACACCAGGTTTTACTAGAGGTGTATCAAGCTAGTTCAAAAGTCTACTGTGAGTAAATTCTGCAAGAGATAATGAAATCAAGGATACAATTTTCTTAGAGTGATAGCTCTGTCCTCAGCTGTACCATATTAACAGAACAGTCTAGCTTGGCATTTAGAATCCATTTTCCACCATTGCACACAATTATCCTGATAATATGTAGTTTTACTTTGGTGTCCTCTTTATCATGTTTCATGCCCAGTGAGCTGGCATACCCTCCCTCCCTCCCTTCTTGTGTCTTTAAAGTTAAAAAAGAAACTAGGCTATACTATTAAGTCAACACTTTTGTTTCCAATTTATAATGACAATTGTTTGTTTGTATTAGGTCATTTTAAGTGCATATTTTTCAGGTTTGTGATCATGAATGCTGAATAACCAATTCAAACCAATCATCGTTCATGAGGCCTGTATTTGTAGTAATGTCTCTTTGTGGTCACTTCTTAATGCTTTCCTGTTCATGGTTTTCATGTTAAGAACATTTTCTAGAAGTATCAGGGGATCTCCCTGTTCACCTGGGACTTTCTCAGCTGGCCACGCTGATTATACTCTTTTAAAAAAACAGATGTAAAAACACCATATAATTACACTGCCTTATTTACTCTGATACAAACACAATAAATACTCTCATCTACTGATGGTTGCATTTCTTAGAAATGTCTGGATTCATTTTGATCAATTTTTTGTAACAGTTTTATCCTGAGAGAGTTTGCCATCTGAGTCCATGCTATCTGGTACACCACTGGGTGGGTTCACATCAATGTCAACATAAACAGTAAACAGACTGCCATGATAGTTTACAAACTTCAAAATAAATACATATTTAATAAATAAATAATTAAGTATATATTATATTTTTTAAGTAGTAAATTGTGAGTAATACTAAATAAAGAGGATTTGAATTAGTGCCTTTCAGGTTTTAGTTGATCTGGTTGAGAACATGTCCAAGAAATGAATTGGCCTCTCTTAAGTTTAAGATGATCCTGATGAGAACATGTCTGAAGAATGCTGCTAAAGTAAATTCAAAGCAATGGCTGCATTTGCCTTACATAAAAATACATATACAGAATAAGGTGCAAATGAAATCAATACCCCATTCCATAATTACTTAAAAATTACTTAAAAATGAACGCCACAAGCTCAGACAAAAAATACTTAGCCAAAATGAGAATTAGTGACCACGAGCTAGCGATAGAGAAAGGCAGGCACATGAAAATCACCCTGGAACAAAGAACCTGCACAAGCTGTAAAACGGAAATAGAGGATGAGAAACATTTCTTCCTCACATGTAGTAAATACCAAATAGAGCGACAAAATATGCTCAGTTCCCTCCCANTCTTTCAAGTATAAGATTTCCTTGCCATGAAAGGCAATGTCTCTGTTATGCCCCTATTTTACACAGACCACGAATCCCACGAATGGCCAGGAATTGACAAATTTCACGATTCGTGGTTGAATCGTAATCAGCTCGTGAAGTTCTTAACAGATTCGTATATATTCGTAGTCAGTTCTTGCACTTCATGACCAACAGGGATTGGTGGCAAAAACTTTGATGCCCCTATTTCACACAGACCACGAATCCCACGAATCGCCAGGAATTGAAAATTTCAGGATTCGTGGTTGAATCGTAATCAGTTCGTGAAGTTCTTAACAGATTCGTATATAATCGTAGTCAGTTCTTGCAATTCTTGATGAATCGAGAATTCGTGGCAAAATATTTAAGCTGTTCAAAGTTTTGGCCACGAACTCCCGATTCCAAAAAATCGTAGTGAATTTCTTGACAATATTCGTGCGATTCCAGCCAAATCCCACGAATATTCGTAACACTATCGCACCTGTATCGTAACTGAATCGTAGAGCGTGTCGAATTAGACCAGAAAATTGGCAAAATCTCACGATTCCAGCCGAATCCCACGAATATTCGTAACCTTATCGTACCTGTATCGTAACTGAACCGTGAGCATGTCAAATTAGACCAGAAAATTGGCAAAATCTCACGAATCCTCACGAATCCTGAAATTTCTCAATTCCTGGCGATTCTTGGGATTCGTGGTCTGTGTGAAATATGGGCCTTACAAAATTAAGCTGGGGTTTGTTAACTGTTCATCAATGAATGGATTATTTGTGCAATGTCTAAAAAATACATATATTGGATATTTTAATGTTGAAAATGAATTTTTTGTGTTCATGCCTTGTATGAATGAAACGATCTCTAGGTTCTACTGAATGGATAAATTTCCCAAAAACTAAAGGCAGAGACTGCAGAGCCAATGTGCTGCTTGCTGAAGCCTGATTTCTCCATATACCTCATTACAGGCTGTAATAAAGTATCCTGTGCATTGGGAGCAATTCAATTAACACAACAAATGTCTCCCCTGGGACAATCTGGCCTGTTGGTACTATCACTGAGACGTCTCTATGTTCTTACCATCCAGTGATGAAATATAGAAAGCTCCACAACAACCATTAGCTTACATGTTCAGTTCTACAGATATCCCCCCTCCACCCCCCCCCCATCCCCACCTCTTTTACTTGGCAAGGAATCTAGTCCCACAATGGATGATTATATACAGCAGACTACAAACAGCAACATGGACATGTCAATCAGGGATTATTGAAATTATAGAATCATCAAACGAAATGGACAAAAACAGTTTACAAGACAGTCACCAGGAAGTTTCTAACTAATAGTCAAAGCGTTTGAGAACTGAGGTGTTATGTCTCTTAACCTCGATACTGCCACCAAATTGTTATCCAAACTGATACAAAATTTACACTCAAAAAGCAAAAGAACATTTCCAGCTTCATTTATGGCGACAATAGCAACATTTGACTAAGACATATTATGTTCTCACACACATTTAAGGCTCCATTTATCTTTTCACTCTGTATGACCATACGGTAAATTTATTTAAACTTACATTGAAACATAGACCCCATTTCCAGAGATAAGATTGATCTACTTTAGATCGACCTAACTCCCTGGGGGTTCACGCTAAATAGCTGTCAGCCGAGCGGACACGAAAGTTAATTACCCCCTTACAGCTTGTAGTAGGCGGGACGGACATTTAAGCCGGATTATCTGACAGTAATCTAGTGAGACTCCCCGCGGGGATAGATTGATCTAAAAGCTCAGGGAATACAGCCATATTCACAAGCAGCATAGCCTAATTTCTAAAATTGAAGTGTGCCCTTGTGTGTTACAGAAAATGTCTTTGTCCAGAAATTCCAGACACAATCTCAATCCAGAATACAACAGATTACAAACTGGGTACAAGATTCCCCACCTGCTGTAGCTGGCTTTAATTAATCAGCTGCTCATGTACTATCATGTTCATCAGTGCAAAAACATGGAAAATACTGCAGTTTATTTCTCTCTTAAACTGATTATGTCTTAAACTAATTATGTCTCCTGTTTCGATTATCTCTGTCAGATATCTGAAGTGGGAGAGTATCTGGCCTGCCATGTTGTACAGCAGATCATATTACTTTATCAGAGTTTATAATTAATTACTTGTAATAAATGTTTACTATTAATAAAAACAAACAAACAGTCTCCAGGCCACTTACCTTCTACGACCAGCTTGATGCTCTGGCTGACCTGACTGATAGAGTTGGTAAAGGTGCACACATACACCCCGCCATCTTCATGGTGTAAATCTACAATCTGAAACCAGATATATCAAGTGAACGACAGGGGCACTAGTTTTATTACAAAACTTATGATGGATATCAGGCTTTTATTAATCTTGTTAGAGTCACACACTATTTTTTATTTAAAAGCTAAATGTCCCTTTACTACTGACATCTATCTGAGTGGAGCAGTCTTAGCTTAGCCTAAAAGGTACACCTTTTTGTGAAACACCTTGATGTTTTTCCAAAATTAAGAATTTACAGTCTACTCAAAGTGTTTAATGTCACTGACTACAAAGACTAACATAGTCCAATAGTATGTAGTACAAACTATTTCCTTTTCACATTGTGCTAGTTGAGATTCTGTAGCAATGTGCTGGTTGAGACAGTATTCTTCAGGTCAAAGAACACAATGCGTTAGATGAGATGACTGCTGAGATAGTCACAATGGTGTTGTCACTTTCATCATCATGGTGTAGTTCTGTGTCTAATTCTATTGAATTAGAAACCATGGTATTTCAGAATAATTTAAGACTGTGATAACTGCTTATTATCTCATCACTATATCAAGTGGTAAAGGGAAGAAACTTAAAAACATATAAAAGCAGGATATGTGTATCTTGCTGAGGACCCACCTCTATTCTGTTTCCGTCCACAGTCTTCCTGCCCACGCTGTCCATGAGAGGTTCGCCATTCTTGGTCCAGGACACGGTGGGCGTCGGCATCCCTGATGCCTCACAGAACAAGGAGGCGCTGTCCCCGCGCTTGTGAATGAGGGTTGGTGTGGAACTGTTGGTGATACGTGGAGGATCTGTGGACAGAATACATTGGACATTTTAATTTTTAATTTTAATTTTAATGTAAGATCCAGTAGTAGATTTAATGTTTTATTATCTTAAATAGATTTTAAAGGCAAAGTGATATAAAGCCTTACTTCTTTTTGAAGTTCTCAATTTAATTCAATTAAATGTCTTTATTTCTTGGCTCACATTAACATAATAAACTAATTGTAAATATCTAAGGTAATTTACTAAATCTGAAAAATTTAGGTAAAATATTTATCTGACATTTTGTAGGAGTTAAATAAAAACCATGCAAGATTGAACTTTAGTAAACACAAATGTATCTGGCAGGCACAAAAGAGTGGAGGAAAGCACAGGGAGGGGGGCCAGAGGGGGGGGGGAGGGGGAAACATGAAAAGTCCAAGCTTAATGACCTTGAATGGAAAAAATAAAAAATAAAAAGACCTGAAATGCAACCCATTCTAAGAATTCCCAAATTCTCAGTCAGGTGAACAATGGGAAATCTTCAGCATGGCCACGCCACATATATATATCTGATAGAAACCAACACTTTGCCAATTTTTCTTATCAGTAGAACTTCTCCTTGTGGTGTCCTTTCCAAGAACGATACCATCACAAAACTTGTTCTTATTATCAGATATTCAATACTGACATTCTGTAAATGGACCCATCAGAGAAACTCCTTTTCCCCTAATATAGATCTAAAGTACTGTGTGCTGAAACAAACACAAGCTATAACTTCGTAATGCTCAGAACAATGGCTAATATGACCAGTGCTAGGGCAGTACCTGAAAAGACAAAGAGTTTCAGTAGTTCTTTAGCTCCTGTACCTCATTCTTTGATGAGATAAGCTATTCCTAAGTTGGAGCTGTAATACAAAGAACACAGGCATAATATTATTACATTGTATGTGGAGTCTTGAATAGTGGGAAGAAGGGGGTGGGGGTGGAGTTGGGGGGTTGGGGTGGGGTTATCTGTAAGAATCCACCTTGTGAAACAAAAAGTCAGAAAAAATTGCTAAAAGCACTCTTTACTGCTAACAACTAACATTAAAGTTGTTATGTTCTGTATTTTTATTCCTTCAACTGAACTTTTTAAAAATCATTCTCTGTTTCACTTGATATTGATTATTTACTTTCTAATACTAAAATTATATCTTGGTAGTTATTTCTGATTATAAGCCATCTGAACTGTCCACTGATAGAGCGACAAGCCCTGTAATCAATTGTATACGTATCCGACCTCTATCAATTCTAAGTAATTACATTATCTTCCACCTTATTTTTTGCAGTTCAGAAATTCTTGGTTATATATTCATTGGGGAGGCTGTATTGCTAGGCCTAAGAGCAAATTTGATTTCTTGGGTGAAGAGGACAGGGAATAAAGCACTGTGAGGTTTTCCTTTGAAAGTTCTCTTCCTAATGTTATTAATCTGGAGAGAGAGAGAGAGTGAGAGTGAGAGACAAAGAGAGAGAGAGAGAGAGAGAGAGAGAGAGAGAAGGGGAGAAGATGGGGAGGACAATTTCATTTGACTCAGCATTCATGTGCCATTTGAAACATAAATCCAATATCTTAACCTCTAAACTTAAGATACAGACACCTAAAAATGATTATTTTGACAGATATTTCCACAGTGGCCCGGCCGTCTAAAAGACGAGTTCTATTACAACATCTCCAAAGAACCAACCCACACAAAAATACCATCTTCCACATACAGGAAATGAAGTTAAACTTAATGAAAATGCCTTCTTTGGTTCTTACAAAAATGGAAAAAAGGACAAATTCAATAACTTCACTGTCAGTTCCAGATGGACAGGAGGTCCCATATGGCGTGCAGTGATCAATAACCCTTCTTTTTATTACTCGTACGGGGATAATATCATCTTTAAATTGACACAGTAACCATCTAAACAGAACAGGGCACAGTGTTTGATTTAACTAAATTTCCACTATTCATATCAAGTGGCTTTCTGTATCAGTTTAGCTACCGAATGGATAACAAAGACTTCTTACAAGAATGAAACGTCTCCTGGCTGCATTGGGATTCTAATCAAATACACTAATTCAGGAAAGAAGTATACTTTGTTTCCATGGGAAAATGTTGTCACAAACATTACATTCTATTTTCTTTACACTAGTCATCTGAGCTTGGAACTGAATTGATTATTTAATAGACAGTCAAATTTGCAGTTCTCTCACCCAAGTGCAGTTAAACCATTAATATCTTTAATCAAATTATGTACAAGGAGAGACACATGTACAAAAACAGGGAACGAACAGGGCGTCCCAAACCTGTGATCACTAAAGAAAATGTTTTAGTTTGAACTTTGTTAAAATTTCTACATATGAGACATTTTTAATAGTATGGTGGGGTGGAGGTGAGGACCCCCCTCCCCACCCCCACCGTGCCCTCTCTCACCAGCCACTCTCCAAAAACAGAGTCATAATATACAGGGAAACAAGATTCTGTGTTTAAAATGGTTATTCATAAAACAGCAGGTCAACATTTAGATCATAGATACATTCACAATATTCATATATGTACACACGCGTTGTTTCCACACATATATGCAAACATGTACTTTTCTACATACATACACACATTTATCCAGTGGGTACATTAAATTTCTTACTCAAAATTTAACTCATCTGAAAAAGAAATTCTTCTTCAATTGCTATGGTAAGAAATAAAGAACTAATTGTTACTGCCATCCACCAATAAAATTACCTGGAAAACCGTCAGTCTATGAACCTACCTCTGAATATATCTGACTGCAGTAAGGCGGCCGGCCCAGATATTGTCTCCATGACAATAAGAAAGCAGAACAGCCAGGCCATTACTGTCCTGGGATACGCCATGCTGCTATGTCAGTGTTCTTAGGTATATAAATATATATCTTCACTGTCTTAACCGTTAACCACTAACTTGATAGACAGAGCAAGACAAATAAGGAGATTGTGATCCAAACTATGGCAGTATTTCTCCTTCCAATCACTGCTCTGTCTCCACACGGTCTATAGGTATTTTTATCCTGATTGTTACGACACTGCTGGCAAGAATTTCTTACTCCCAACTGTGACTATATTTCCACACCGAATGTTTGAAAAATTTAAATACTACACGATACCAATGGTCAATTAATGTTGCCGAAAGCAACAATGCCATGAATGTTATTTGATCAATACCAAATTGGGGATCTTTTCTATCCATGGTAATACTTGGTACTAGGACGATACAAACTGTGCCAAATAGTCAAATGATCCGGCCAACTGCATCAAAGTTTTTTCACTTTTTCTGTTTTTATTCTATGTGCTGTAGCCCAGTTTATCAACAATAAAGTGAATGGTGATGTTTAAATGGACAAGGAGTTAGTGAAGACTTGGTATTGGTCTTTATACTGGACTGATGAAATAACCACATTTTCAGTCCAACATAGTGCAGAATTGTTTCCTAAGAGACCTAAATTGTATTAAGTCTTCACGGTTTTCTTTGTTAGTTTGCCAGACATGACAGAGTGAAGGTGAACACACGGTTCAGCAAGAACCCCAACATTAAGTGCATTCAATCCCAGGAGCACTTTCCATGCGTGCCAGTCAATACGGTATTCCTGTCAGCACATCACCTCTCCAAAATACTGGAAATCCTAAATGATTAAAACCTTGCCGTCCTCACACGTCAATTAGCCAATTACGAGCCCCCCTGCAGCACACTACCATCAGGGGGCAGCACCAACACCGTTCTCTTCTTATTTCAAAACAGCGATCAGCAAGTTCAGAGTTTTGAGGTTGCAGACTAATTATTCCAATCACTTATTTGCCTGGTAGGAAAAATGAAAAGATACACAATACAGTATAAATCAGCATGCAACCTGACAATAATATTTGATGATGAATAAGAGGAGAAGAGATAATCACATGGAAGCTTACCTAATCTTATACTAACACAACAAAAGAGGATCAGTTCTTTGTTATCCTGTTCTTTTTTTTTGTTTTCAATTTTTAATCACTTAGAAAACTGTAACTTTCAAAAAGTCTAAAATATATTTTCTCTGCCTTTTTTCTTTTGGACAATATCACATTTGCAACTCGCAAACTATGGCTGCAAAAATTTATTTAAGCATTAAACTGTAAGCTGCCAAAATCTGCTTTTATTAGCGAGTTCTAAATACAGCAGCTTTTCCACCAAGTTTTCCCTAATTCCACCTAAGGTTATCCCATAGTGACCTATTGGGAAAATTCTGGGAAATGAATTGGCTTTTTTCACACCATTTTTGCTGACAAATATATTTGCCAATGGCTGCTTTGCAGTAATTACAGTGATGACTTATCTTTACTTCCAGTTGAAAAGTCAATGGATGAACACTGCTTAACTTAATCCTTAATTTAGATTACCTGTAAATGGAGCGTGTTTCTTTCTAAAGAAAAAAACCAAAAACTTTAAAGGCATCTTGCACAAGATCACCAGTGTTTACCTTGCTTTTGGATTTAGTTCATATTAAATAAATTACATACCAGCTCACATATCAAATTACAAAGAAACACTGTGACAAGTAATTACTTTCCAAATGACAGTCATTGACAAAAAATTAAGGTTTTTAAGAATTAAACATTTTCCAAATTTAATTTTCTTTTTGTCGATAATAAAAACCAAATTATTCATAAAGCTGCACCAGATTAAACAACTAATAATGGGAAAATTGTAAGTTCTCCTTCTAATACAGTATAACAGGTTTAGTATTGGAGAGACTGGGGCAGGCAAATGCCATATTATGTCTGTGTAACTCCCTCAATCAATATCTGCACTACATATACCTACACTGAACTGGCAAGAGGGAGTTTCATGAAATCCTGCAATTAAGCACTTTTTCCAGTATTTCACCTAAATATTTAAGTGGTACTTTACCGGGATAGGGTGTGAAGACAAGAAAAATTTACCAATTACGCAGCCATACTTTAGCATTTCCTGATAAAAATTCTCATGGATTTTAAACAAAGATCTGATGAACACACTTTATCACCTTATAGCAACTAACTGAAGTCAAATATAGCAAATTTTCTTTGTAGCTTCATTTTACTTGAAGAATGAACTCAACAGTCTTTTTAAAGGCTTACAAAAAATAGGAAGATTTAAAATACAAAACCCCATGTTTAGTTAGTTTACTATTCACATACGCCAATACAGGGCAACCCCATCTACTCCTTCCTCGCTCTGTCTGGTCTCCCCAGTGCACGCTATATTCCAATTAAGCAAGTGTTGTGATCAAATTTGGATAGAATGAGCAGTAATTATCCATTGAAATGTGTGTCGTAGCTCACACCATAGGCTGAGAGCTGAATGCACTACTCAATAACCCGTCAAATTACATCTAGAAGACTTCATTAACTGGTGAGCCAGTTAACCGGTCAATACTTCCACCTTGTCGTGCACCTTCCTGGTGTTAACTGCAATCTTCCCAATTATTTCCTCTGCTCTCAGCACAGAAAACTGGTAGATGAATGAAAACTTGGTACAAATCCTGATAATGAATCTTACAGGAAGTCACTCCACCTCTGGCACATTAAAACCCTAGGCTGCATTTTCTGAGGAAAGCAAATTTCTAGGAACTTTTATAAAAGTGTTAATGAAATAGTTCACATCTGCTGTGTATACAGGGTGCTGAGGTCTCTCCCAACTGAGATGACTGGTTTCTCTCTTATGTCTCTACAGACCCGACTCAAAGACCAACCAGGAGTGAAAGAAAAAAGACGAGTCATATACGTAACTTAAAACGTGAGAATTCTTTATGGGCTGGTCAGATATCGACCAGTTAACATAGCCTTTGTCTCAGCCAATGAGGCGCAGGGTGTCTTCCTGGCCTCCTAGATATGAGATCTCTCTCCCTTCCCGTTATGAAAGGTTTGCTACCACCTCTCCCGAGGCCTGTTCATGCCCAGTCTTGGCTTGTTAAGACTAAGAACACGACCTGCTCTTGCTTAACGCAATTATCGTCATCAATATACCTCAAGGGAATGTATTGGCAACTAACAGCATGGAGAAATAGGAAAATTGTCAACTTTTGGATCCAAATAAATATATGATAAAATGAATGAAAGAAAAAACTAATCAAACTAGAGGATCAGAGAGNCGTGAGCATGTCGAATTAGACCAGAAAATTGGCAAAATCTCACGAATCCTCACGAATCCTGAAATTTCTCAATTCCTGGCGATTCTTGGGATTCGTGGTCTGTGTGAAATATGGGCCTTACAAAATTAAGCTGGGGTTTGTTAACTGTTCATCAATGAATGGATTATTTGTGCAATGTCTAAAAAATACATATATTGGATATTTTAATGTTGAAAATGAATTTTTTGTGTTCATGCCTTGTATGAATGAAACGATCTCTGGGTTCCACGGAATGGATAAATTTCCCAAAAACTAAAGGCAGAGACTGCAGAGCCAATGTGCTGCTTGCTGAAGCCTGATTTCTCCATATACCTCATTACAGGCTGTAATAAAGTATCCTGTGCATTGGGAGCAATTCAATTAACACAACAAATGTCTCCCCTGGGACAATCTGGCCTGTTTGTACTATCACTGAGACGTCTCTATGTTCTTACCATCCAGTGATGAAATATAGAAAGCTCCACAACAACCATTAGCTTACATGCTCAGTTCTACAGATATCCCCCCTTCACCCCACCCATCCCCACCTCTTTTACTTGGCAAGGAATCTAGTCCCACAATGGATGATTATATACAGCAGACTACAAACAGCAACATTGATATGTCAATCAGGGAATACTGAAATTATAGAATCATCAAACGAAATGGACAAAAACAGTTTACAAGACAGTCACCAGGAAGTTTCTAACTAATAGTCAAAGTGTTTGAGAACTGAGGTGTTATGTTTCTAAACCTCGATACTGCCACTAAATTGTTACCCAAACTGATACAAAATTTACACTCAAAAAGCAAAAGAACATTTCCAGCTTCATTTATGGCGACAACAGCAACATTTGACTAAGACATATTATGTTCTCACACACATTTAAGGCTCCATTTATCTTTTCACTCTGTATGACCATACGGTAAATTTATTTAAACTTACATTGAAACATAGACCCCATTTCCAGAGATTAGATTGATCTACTTTAGATCGACCTAACTCCCTGGGGGTTCACGCTAAATAGCTGTCAGCCGAGCGGACACGAAAGTTAATTACCCCCTTACAGCTTGTAGTAGGCGGGACGGACATTTAAGCCGGATTATCTGACTGTAATCTAGTGAGACTCCCCGCGGGGATAGATTGATCTAAAAGCTCAGGGAATATTCACACACAGCATAGCCTAATTTCTAAAATTGAAGTGTGCCCTTGTGTGTTACAGAAAATGTCTTTGTCCAGAAATTCCAGACACAATCTCAATCCAGAATACAACTGATTATAAACTGGGTACAAGATTCCCCACCTGCTGTAGCTGGCTTTAATTAATCAGCTCCTCATGTACTATCATGTTCATCAGTGCAAAAACATGGAAAATACTGCAGTTTATTTCTCTCTTAAACTGATTATGTCTTAAACTAATTATGTCTCCTGTTTCGATTATCTCTGTCAGATATCTGAAGTGGGAGAGTATCTGGCCTGCCATGTGGTACAGCAGATGATATTACTTTATCAGAGTGTATAATTAATTACTTGTAATAAATGTTAACCATTAATAAAAACAAACAAACAGTCTCCAGGCCACTTACCTTCTACGACCAGCTTGATGCTCTGGCTGACCTGACTGATAGAGTTGGTGAAGGTGCACACATACACCCCGCCATCTTCATGGTGTAAATCTACAATCTGAAACCAGATATATCAAGTGAACGACAGGGGCACTAGTTTTATTACAAAACTTATGATGGATATCAGGCTTTTATTAATCTTGTTAGAGTCACAGACTACTATTTTTATTTAAAAGCTAAATGTCCCTTTACTACTGACATCTTTCTGAGTAGAACAGTCTTAGCTTAGCCTAAAAGTTACATCTTTTTGTGAAACACCTTGATGTTTTTCCAAAATTAAGAATTTACAGTCTACTGAAAGTGTTTAAAGTCACTGACTACAAAGACTAACATAGTCCAATAGTATGTAGTATAAACTATTTCCTTTTCACATTGTGCTAGTTGAGATCCTGTAGCAATGTGCTGGTTGAGACATAAAGTATTCTTCAGGTCAAAGAACACAATGCGTTAGATGAGATGACTGCTGAGATAGTCACAATGGTGTTGTCACATCTCATCATCATGGTGTAGTTCTGTGTCTAATTCTATTGAATTATAAACCATGGTATTTCAGAATAATTTAAGACTGTGATAACTGCTTATTATCTAATCAATATATCAAGTGGTAAATGGAAGAAACTTAAAAACATATAAAAGCAGGATATGTGTATCTTGCTGAGGACCCACCTCTATTCTGTTGCCGTCCACAGTCTTCCTGCCCACGCTGTCCATGAGAGGTTCGCCATTCTTGGTCCAGGACACGGTGGGCGTCGGCATCCCTGATGCCTCACAGAACAAGGAGGCGCTGTCCCCGCGCTTGTGAATGAGGGTTGGTGTGGAACTGTTGGTGATACGTGGAGGATCTGTGGACAGAATACATTGGACATTTTAATTTTTAATTTTAATTTTAATGTAAGATCCAGTAGTAGATTTAATGTTTTATTATCTTAAATAGATTTTAAAGGCAAAGTGATATAAAGCCTTACTTCTTTTTGAAGTTCTCAATTTAATTCAATTAAATGTCTTTATTTCTTGGCTCACATTAACATAATAAACTAATTGTAAATATCTAAGGTAATTTACTAAATCTGAAAAATTTAGGTAAAATATTTATCTGATATTTGTAGGAGTTAAATAAAAACCATGCAAGATTGAACTTTAGTAAACACAAATGTATCTGGCAGACACAAAAGAGTGGAGGAAAGCACAGGGAGGGGGGCCAGAGGAGGGGGGGAGGGGGAAACATGAAAAGTCCAAGCTTAATGACCTTGAATGGAAAAAAAAACTGAAAAGACCTGAAATGCAACCCATTCTAAGAATTCCCAAATTCTCAGTCAGGTGAACAATGGGAAATCTTCAGCATGGCCACACCACATATATATATCTGATAGAAACCAACACTTTGCCAATTTTTCTTATCAGTAGAACTTCTCCTTGTGGTGTCCTTTCCAAGAACGATACCATCACAAAACTTGTTCTTATTATCAGATATTCAATACTGACATTCTGTAATGGACCCATCAGAAAAACTCCTTTTCCCCTAATATAAAGCACTGTGTGCTGAAACAAACACAAGCTATAACTTCGTAATGCTCAGAACAATGGCTAATATGACCCGTGCTAGGGCAGTACCTGAAAAAGACAAAGAGTTTCAGTAGTTCTTTAGCTCCTATACCTCATTCTTTGATGAGATAAGCTATTCCTAAGTTGGAGCTGTAATACAAAGAATGCAGGCATAATATTATTACATTGTATATGGAGTCTTGAATAGTGGGAAGAGGGGGGTGAGGGTGGAGTTGGGGGGTTGGGGTGGGGTTATCTGTAAGAATCCACCTCGTGAAACAAAAAGTCAGAAAAAATTGCTAAAAGCACTCTTTATTGCTAACAACTATCATTAAAGTTGTTATGTTCTGTATTTTTATTCCTTCAACTGAACTTTTTAAAAATCAGTCTCTGTTTCACTTGATATTGATTATTTACTTTCTAATACTAAAATTATATCTTGGTAGTTATTTCTGAACTGTCCACTGATAGAGCGACAAGCCCTGTAATCAATTGTATACGTATCTGACCTCTATCAATTCTAACTAATTACATTATCTTCCACCTTATTTTTTTCAGTTCAGAAATTCTTGGTTATATATTCATTGGGGAGGCTGTATTGCTAGGCCTCAGAGCAAATTTGATTTCTTGGGTGAGGAGGACAGGGAATAAAGCACTGTGAGGTTTTCCTTTGAAAGTTCTCTTCCTAATGCTATTAATCTTGAGAGAGAGAGAGACAGAGAGAGACAGAGAGAGAGAGAGAGAGAGACAGAGAGAGAGAAGGGGAAAAGATGGGGAGGACAATTTCATTTGACTCGGCATTCATGTGCCATTTGAAACATTAATCCAATATTTTAACCTCTAAACTTAAGATACAGACACCTAAAAATGATTATTTTGACAGATATTTCCACAGTGGCCCGGCCGTCTAAAAGATGAGTTCTATTACAACATCTCCAAAGAACCAACCCACACAAAAATATCATCATCCACATACAGGAAATGAAGTTAAACTTAATGAAAATGCCTTCTTTGGTTCTTACAAAAATGGAAAAAAGGACAAATTCAATAACTTCACTGTCAGTTCCAGATGGACAGGAGGTCCCATATGGCGTGCAGTGATCAATAACCCTTCTTTTTATTACTCGTACGGGGATAATATCATCTTTAAATTGACACAGTAACCATCATAACAGAACAGGGCACAGTGTTTGATTGAACTAAATTTCCACTATTCATATCAAGTGGCTTTCTGTATCAGTTTAGCTACGGAATGGATAACAAAGACTTCTTCCAAGAATGAAACATCTCCTGGCTTCATTGGGATTCTAATCAAATACGCTAATTCAGGAAAGAAGTATACTTTGTTTCCATGGGAAAATGTTGTCACAAACATTACATTCTATTTTCTTTACACTAGTCATCTGAGCTTGGAACTGAATTGATTATTTAATAGACAGTCAAATTTGCAGTTCCCTCACCCAAGTGCAGTTAAACCATTAATATCTTTAATCAAATTATGTACAAGGAGAGACACATGTACAAAAACAGGGAGTGAACAGGGCGTCCCAAACCTGTGATCACTAAAGAAAATGTTTAAGCTTGAACTTTGTTAAAATTTCTACATATGAGACATTTTTAATTTTAATAGTATGGTGGGGTGGAGGTGAGGACCCCCCCACCCCACCCTCGCCGTGCCCTCTCTCACCAGCAACTCTCCAAAAACAGAGTCATAATATACAGGGAAATAAGGTTCTGTGTTTAAAATGGTTATTCACCAAACAGCAGGTCAACCTTTAGATACATTTACAATATTCATACATGTACACACGCGTTACGTTTCCACATACATACACACGCATATTCAATGGGTATATTAAATACCTTACTCAAAATTTAACTCATCTGAAAAAGAAATTCTTCTTCAATTGCTATTGTAAGAAATAAAGAACTAATTATTACTGCCATCCACCAATACAATTACCTGGAAAACCTTCAGTCTATGAACATACCTCTGAATATATCTGACTGCAGTAAGGCGGCCGGCCCAGATATTGTCTCCATCACGATAAGAAAGCAGAACAGCCACGCCATTACTGTCTTGGGATACGCCATGCTGCTATGTCAGTGTTCTTAGGTATATAAATATATATCTTCACTGTCTTAACCGTTAACCACTAACTTGATAGACAGAGCAAGACAAATAAGGAGATTGTGATCCAAACTATGGCAGTATTTCCTCCTTCCAATCACTGCTGTGTCTCCACACGGTCTATCTCTTCCATAGGTATTTTTATCCTGATTGTTATGACATAGGCAAGAATTTCTTACTCCCAACTGTGACTATATTTCCACATCGAATGTTTGAAAAATTTAAATACTACACGAAACCAATGGTCAATTAATGTTGCCGAAAGCAACAATGCCATGAATGTTATTTGCCTTCAGTTGATCAATACCAAATTGGGGATCTTTTCTATCCATGGTCATACTTGGTACTAGGATGATACAAACTGTGCCAAATAGTCAAATGATCCGGCCAACTGCATCAAAGTTTTTTCACTTTTTCTGTTTTTATTCTATGTGCTCTAGCCCAGTTTATCAACAATAAAGTGAATGGTGACGTTTAAATGGACAAGAAGTTAGTGAAGACTTGGTATTGGTCTTTATACTGGACTGATGAAATAACCACATTTTCAGCCCAACATAGAGCAGAATTGTCTCCTAAGAGACCTAAATTGTATTAAGTCTTCACGGTTTTCTTTGTTAGTTTGCCAGACATGACAGAGTGAAGGTGAACACGGTTCAGCAAGAACCCCAACATTAAGTGCATTCAATCCCAGGAGCACTTTCCACGCGTGCCAGTCAATACGGTATTCCTGTCAGCACATCACCACTCCAAAATACTGGAAATCCTAAATGATTAAAACCTTGCTGTCCTCACACGTCAATTAGCCAATTACAAGCCCCCCTGCAGCACACTACCATCAGGGGGCAGCACCAACACTGTTCTCTTCTTATTTCAAAACAGCGATCAGTAAGTTCAGAGTTTTGAGGTTGCAGACTAATTATTCCAATCACTTATTTGCCTGGTAGGAAAAATGAAAAGATACACAATACAGTATAAATCAGCATGCAACCTGACAATAATATTTGATGATGAATGAAGGGAGAAGAGATAATCACATGGAAGCTTACCTAATCTTATACTAACACAACAAAAGAGGATCAGTTCTTTGTTATCCTGTTCTTTTTTTTGTTTGTTTTCAATTTTTTATCACTTAGAAAACTGTAACTTTCAAAAAGTCTAAAATATATTTTCTCTGCCTTTTGTCTTTTGGGCAATGTCACTTTTGCACCTCACAAACTATGGCTGCAGAAATTTATTTAAGCATCAAACTGTAAGCTGCCAAAATAGCAAGTTCTAAATACAGCAGCTTTTCCACCAAGTTTTCCTTAATACTACCTAAGGTTATCCCATAGTGACCTATTGGGAAAATTCTGGGAAATCAATTGGCTTTTTTCACACCATTTTTGCTGACAAATATGTTTGCCAATGGCTGCTTTGCAGTAAGTACAGTGATGACTTATCTTTACTTCCAGTTGAAAAGTCAATGGATGAACACTGCTTAACTTAATCCTTAATTTAGATTACCTCTAAATGGAGCGTGTTTCTTTAAAGAAAAAAACCAAAAACTTCAAAGGCATCTTGCACTAGATCACCAGTGTTTACCTTGCTTTTGGATTTAGTTCATATTAAATAAATTATATACCAGCTCACATATCAAGTTACAATGAAACACTGTGACAAGTAATTACTTCCCAAATGACAGCCATTGACAAAAAATTAAGGTTTTTAAGAATTAAACATTTTCCAAATTTAATTTTCTTTTTGTCGATAATAAAAACCAAATTATTCATAAAGCAGTACCAGATTAAACAACTAATAATGGGAAAATTGTAAGTTCTCCTTCTAATACAGCATTACAGGTTAACTATTGGAGAGATTGGGGCAGGCAAATGCCATATTATGTCTGTGTAACTCCCTCAATCAATATCTGCACTACATATACCTACACTGAACTGGCAAGAGAGTTTCATGAAATCCTGCAATTAAGCACTTTTCCAGTATTTCACCTAAATATTTAAGTCGTACTTTACTGGGATAGGGTGTGAAGACAAGGAAAATTTAGCAATTATGCAGCCATACTTAAGCATTTCCTGATAAAAATTCTCATGGATTTTAAACAAAGATCTGATGAACACACTTTATCACTTTATCTTCACCTGACTGAAGTCAAATATGGCAAATTTTCTTTGT